AAGGGGGACCCGGGCAAGTCCACAGTGAGAGAGGCCGCTCCAGAAGCCCACGTCCCAATGATGACGATGGGGGGAGCCACAGACGTAGACGCTTACAGGCGGCCTGCTACGGCAAGCATGGGCCCTACTAGATAGGGGGAGTACTCGCAAATGGCTTTGTTTGACTACCTAACCAACAGCAACCTACCTAGGGAGCCCATGCAAGCCACGGTAGCATACAGCTGATACAGTCAGAGGGGAGATATGTGTCCAGTACAGTGTGTTCTGCCATGATTTATGTACCATACTTGGGGGGGGATGCACTACGGTTGTTTCTCCGACACATGTACCTACCCTCGGCCAGGCCCTCAGAGTGCAGTGCGTGTTTGAAGTGCAACCTTTGTTTCCTTTCACTACTGGGGGAACCGGCCGTTTCATAGCCTCCGGGCCGCAAAACCAACTGCAGTTTTCGGCCGAAAGGGGAGGCCTGTAAAGCCGAGCCTCTCAGAGCGAAACTCTGGGGGGGAACAAAAACCATCCGCGAAATGCGGGTGTGCGGATCGCACGGGGGGATGGCCCTGAACGCTGGCCTGAACCCCACGCCCGGTAGAGAGAGAGAGAGAGAGAGAGAGAGAGAGAGAGAGAGAGAGAGAGAGAGAGAGAGAGAGAGAGAGAGAGAGAGAGAGAGAGAAAGAACACCGACGACGGCGGAAGTACACCCATGGAACCCACACGCCGCGTCGACGGAGTTCCAAAGCAACCACAGCAGCCGGCACCCAACACAGAGCCCCGCACCGATACCACGAAGGGGGAGGCCCAGACCGCACCAGAAACAAAGCAGAGAAATACAAAATCAAGCGCTGGCTAAAAGCAAACAATCTCCACCACACAAGGTGGGGACAGCACCTCCTGGGCCAAGGCCCCTCACCTCCACCGCGCCACGACACCAGCAAACCACCGCCACAAGCACAGGACAACACCGACCCGCCACAACCCACCGAGTGGCAACCACCCCAACTCAGCCTCCAAGAGAGGGCGGATTACTTCCGCATGCTCAACCCGGGCCAGCCTCTGCCACCGCACCTAAAGCCACAGCAGGAAGCCACAGCAGAAGAGGAGGATAGCCAGCCAGCGGGCGACCCCATGACCCAACCAGGTCACGCCAAAGCAGACACCTACACACCCTACTGGCACCCCAACGCAGAGCATGGGGGAACCGCAGCCACCACGGCCACAAGCTACCCCTACGAGACGACAACCAGCACCACCGACGGGGGAAACACCGCACCAACCCCGCCCTCCTTCACTAGGGGGAGAACACTCAGCACCACCTCCACTACCCCACTCGGCCATCACCACAACTACACACACGGTCCTCAGAGCCGCCAAATGGCTCACCCGGATCGAATACCAAGCCGACGTCCCGACCAACACCACCACCAACAACAAGCATGCCAGTCAGCGTCTACCCACCCATCAGCGGTGAAACCTGGCTTCTGCTGGAGCCTATCTCACAACGCCGCTGGCTCGCCACAGTCACCCAAGTGCCAACACCCCACCACCAAGAACACCAAAGCCTCGCCCTACAGGTGGGGGACCAGTTCCTGCTTCTCTCCACCAGCACACATTGGAGCATACAGTTCACCACCACCACCCCAGACCAGTTCTACAGAACTGAAGCGACAGCAGCTTACACTGACACCGACCACCACTCCCACCCACACGGCCAGCACCAAGCCGAACAAGCAGAGCACCAGACACCACAACCCCAACAACCGGCGGGGGGCGAAAGGCCAAGCCCGATGGAACCAGAACCAGAGCAGCCGCAAACGCAGACGCAACCACAACCACAAGCACCTGAGCGACCACAAGCACCAACGCAGCCACAACCACAAGCACAACCACAACCGACTGGGATGCACAATCCCCTGAGTGACGGCAGGACTCTAAGACAGTCACAGCAAACAAGAGCGCAAGCGCAGCAACCACCGCCGCAGCAAACGCCGACACCCTGGTTCCATCAGATACGTGACGGCAGGCAGATCGGCCCGAAGCCCACTCCAGCGCCAGGGCCCGGGGGGGAACATGATAGTACCGAACTCATGCAAGCACTCCCGCCCACTACTTCGACCTCGACCACTACCACACCGGCCTCCCCGACGGCATGTCCCAGTGGCACCGAGGGGGAGCTCAACGGCACGACCACTGACGAGGAGAATGTGGGCCTCGTCCGCCGACGACGACGCACTCCTCTCGCAGACCAACTCAGAGAGGGACGACACAGGACAAGCCGGGGGATTGGAGAAGAGCCAACGCACCATGCGGGCCCACCACAACGACGACGCCGCACACCGATGCCAGCAAGTCCGCGCAGACGCCGGCAGCCGACGGGGGACGCAGCGACCTCGAGTGCCTCCGCACCAGTGGATGCACAAGCGCTCCTCGCAGCTCAAGGGGGAGCGATCCAAGCTGCCCTGGCCCAACTGCAGATGATACATGAAATTGCAGACGCCTGGACAACCACGCGGGGGAGCTCATCTCCAATATCTGTGCTATAGCGCTCAGAATGCTTACGCAAGCCGACAGTTTCCCTCACTCGAGGCCTGGGGGGATACGAGCAGCCTTTGCAGGCCCCACGGGACTCAGCGAAGCCTACCGCTTCGTAGCTTCGATGAGAGTGAGAAGGGGAGAAGGCTTCACCCCAGAGGAGTACGCGACGGACTTGAGCCAACTCCGAGCCATGGTGGAAACCGGGCTAGCCGAGCTCAAAGACCCGATGCCGGGGGACGTCACCGAGCAGAACCTCAACAAGGCGACCCTCAAGCTGACGGCCGCATACCACCAAATCGACCAAGTCATCCTGCGGGCGCTGGGGGGAGATAGGCAGTGGAACACCCTCGAATGGTGGAACGAGCTGCATGATCTTCTCGCACCAGCGGCGCTCTTGGCCACCAAGAGGGGTGAAGCCACAGTCATGACGGAGCATCCCAACACGGCACACCCGGCAGATGCACTTGCCTTTGCGGGGGAAGCCACCACAGAGTGGGAGGCACGATCCTCGCAGAGATCTTCTGCAACTACAAGACTGCTACGAGCCGCGGGGAGACTTAAGAACACGGTCCCCTTCCTGAATGGGCAACTCATGGTGCCAATAGTCGAAACAATTCAGGCACTGGAGGCATGGCAACAAGCTATGTTTGGGGGAGCACATGCAGTGCATGAACAGACACAGACCGGCGACATCAACACGGAGGGGGAAACGGCGGCCTACAGCGAGCAGCCCGAGAAGCCCGAGGGGACCACGGAGGCGCTTCGCGAGCACACCGTGGAAGCAACGACCGAGCCCATGCCCGCGGAGCCACATGGGGGAGACGGCGCCTTGCCACATGGGGGAGACGGCGCCTTGACAGCCGCACAAATGGCGCAGATGATGACAGCGAGTCTACAACAAGCAGTCAATGAAGTGGGGGAAATGGCAACCATCCCCACACAAGACGACAGTGAAGCCGCGACTAATGCCATGGAACCCACCACCAGCAAGGGGAGAAGCTCCGCTGAGTGCCAACAGAGCACGCTCTCGATCCCCACGTCATGATGACGACAACGGGGGAAGCCATAGGAGAAGGCGACTCCAAGCAGCCTTCTATGGGAAGCATGGGCCCTATTGACACCAGCTGGGGGATGTACATCTCAGTGAACTTGCTAGGGGGACCCTGACGTCAATAGGCCACCCATGCAGCCCATGTCTCACAGAGATGTACCATGGCAGAGGCAATCTGGTCACAAGATAGGGGGAGTAACTGTTCGAAATCTCTAATTTGCTACTTGTTGTACTCTTTCTATGGCCGGGGCCTCAGCTTGCGACTTGTGCAACCTTCTTCATGCCTGTGGTATCACGGTACTTGGTTGTGCGCGAACATAGACAAGTCGTAAGCTCTGCCAAACAAAGGGGGATCCCACACTGCCGCCTAACTACAGAGCACCAGTACAAAATGGGGGACAGTGAATGGGTGATCCCTTGTGCTGTTCAGCTGAGCCTCGGGGGGAAAAACTCCCACGAGGACCAGGACAACCCGCGAATAGCGGGTGTGCGCATTGCACGGGGAGCGGGGCCTGGACGCCGCCCTAATCCCCAAGCCCGGTAGAGAGAGAGAGAGAGAGAGAGAGACAGAGAGAGAGAGAGAGAGAGAGAGAGAGAGAGAGAGAGAGCCATGCACAGATGGTGGCGCCGGCCCTAGATGAGGGTGTACAAAACGAACTTAGACGGCAAGTTGACGAGGCGTGGGGTAATGGTTTACTTAGTGTAAAGGGGGGTCACGGGTTCTTACGGTGCTGCACAGAGCCTGCGTCAACGAGCTGGGGTGTTTCATGGCTAAACGACCAAACCGGTGCGCGCTTGCGCGCGAGGGGGGAGACCCCTGCTGTCCGAGTGCAAGCAAGAGAGAGAGAGAGAGAGAGAGAGAGAGGGAGAGACAGAGAGAGAGAGAGACAGTTGTTGTGTTGTGCTTCTGCGCTGTGAAAGAGCTGCACACAACGGGGGAGAATCCACACTGTCCACCCGACTACAGTGCACAAGCAGGGGGGACAGTGAATGGACAACCTCGACACCCAATGTGCAGCCGAGCCTCGGGGGGATCAAATTCCCGCGAGGACCAAGGACGCCCCGCGAATAGCGGGTGTGCGGTTCGCACGGGGGGCGGGGCCTGGATGCTGCCCCAATCCCCAAGCCCGGTAGAGAGAGAGAGCGAGAGGGAGAGCGCAGAGAGAGAGAGAGAGATCCCCCGTCACCACAGCCCTGGCGAAAGAAAGAAAGAGAGAGAGAGAGAGAGAGAGAGCCTGACACGAACACTGGCGTAGTGCTCGCGCGCGGAGGGAGGGGAACTCGCTTTCCCTCACCCCAAACGCCCGGCAAGCAAGCAAGCAAGAGAGAGAAAGAGAGAGAGCGCGTCACCGACTCCAACACATTCCTGGAAGACCGGGTAGAAGGAAGCGGAATAAAGTCGCCGGACGAAAAGTGCCAGGCTTCGGCCTCGGATCTTTTCCAAAGGTGTCTCGGCGACGCACTCTCTTTTCAAGCGTCTATGTCCGACCTAAAGTGACCCAGTGCAACCGTCGATGTTTATGGCTTTGTCAAGCATTGAGCATCGTCTTTCTGAGTCGAAAGTTGCAATCTGTAAGTGTCTGGATTGGGGTGGGCTTCCGCTTCGGTTACCTCAAGGGGCTTCCTGTTGTGTCCTGGACTCGGACCTGTGCGCAAAGCATGTGCCAGCATGGCAGCCGTGCCACATTCCCGGAAGCAGCTATGACTTTCAGGATGATCGTGGCATGACGTCATGACGGATTCTGCCGTCGGAGAGCATGACCGTAAGATGTCCACATCCCGAGGAATACAAGATCCCCGCCTGGCCAAACGACCTGTCCTGGGAACAGAGCGCGCAGCTCCGAACCATTGCGCCTCTTGGTTGCAGGTCGACCTCGACCTCGGCTGCCTCCGCAGGTGTAGTGACACATGTTAAGATCATGTCATGATGTCGCTTTTAGGTTCGTCGGGGTCGTTGTATTTGTGGGTCTTCTTCTGTGTGCTGTTTGGGCTGGAGCAGCGGGCGGTGTTCGCATCAGCTCCTCTTCACCGAATAGACACAAGTGGGTGGCCCCGGGTGGCAGTGGCTGCTTGTCCCGAAGAAGATAAGTTCGCAGGCACGGACAAGAGTCAGAAACCCATTTCGGGATGGACTGAAACACGTGCTGGAACCAATCCTGCCAACTCCTGCGATCTCTAGGCTTGATGGCTTCAAGCGTGAGAGCCTTAACGAGGACAGTAAGCTGAATGCATCTGGGTGCTAACGTTGGCTTGACTTTTTCAACACGACTCTGCGCAGCTTCCACAGAACCTGAACTTTCATGCAAGTTCCTGCTGCTCCGGTGACACTGCTGTGTGATATTCTTGAAAGTGTCTTTGTTAACGCGTGATTGTGTGACGCATGTGACGCTTGGTCAGACTTCAACCTCCGCACTTTGTCAGGAGTATCTGGAAGGTCCAAATGCAGAGTTCCAGATGTATCTGGATCCGCAAGTTTGGGTTTCAGGACGTTGCAGCAGGCTGAAGGACAGAGGACTTCTGATGCTGGGGGATTCAGGCGTTCGGCGAGCCACGTGAGAAACATCCTTCTACAAAAGACGAACCATGCTTCAGCATTCCATGCCAATCAAACAGTACGGTTCAGTATGTAGTTGCAAGTTTTTGACTTCCTTGGGGCTGAGACCGGCTTTCCACTCAGCTGGTGGCATGCCAGATGAATACACTCATGGCTGCAAGGCAGGGTCGTGAGACATACTGGCGCCTTGGCTGAACTGGTGTTGGAAATTCTGAATTCAGGACGTCCTCGCGGCTTGTAGAAGTGGCAGTACCTGCTGCGAGCATGTGCGAGATTGGAATATGCGAGCTTCGTTGCTGATCTTGTGCGTGTGTTGTACATGTACGCCTTGTGCGCGAACATGCTTGCATGTCTAGCACGGTTTTGAATTCGACAGAGCTTCTGAAAGATTGAATCTGCCTTCGCAGCATCTTTGATGGACGGAGTCTAGTGCCTGCTTCAAAATCCGCATGTGGAAATGCTCGGCTCCACAATCACACTTCGAAGGCAAGCATCGGGCCAGTACTTCATGTACTACTGCCAGCGCTTTCGAAAGTGTCTTGGCCGAGAGAGTGCAATTCCAGCTAGAGACCCGAGAGCGCAAAGTTGCGGGCCATGCGCCCCGCTTGCATGTCTCTGTTGCGAATATTGTGGAATCTGCATTTGCGAAGCACGCCGTTGTTTTAGGCTCAGAATCAGCAGCCAGCTTCACGAGATACCGTGTCGCTGTACAGCGTTGATGGACGCTAAACCCTCGTCTATGCACGAGATCAAGGTCCCTGCACCGCAGGATGTGCCATTTCCCAGGTTCGTGAAACCGCCACTTCCTGCACGTCCGCCCAGATCTCGCAGTCGCAGCTCATCGGCTGATTCCTGCGAACTGCAAATCGTGGTCGGACCCCGGACTTTGTCAGGAAGACTCGGGAGGCTGAAGGTGTCCAGAGACAACATCGATTCGATAGCCAACTGCGATAGCACCAGCTGTCTTCGGCTCAGCGACTACCTTCGGCTGACCACGCGTCCTGGACCTGAGCTGTCCTTCGGCAGCTCTCTTCACGTTGGCGATGGCGTGAATGCTCTGTGCATGGTCTGCAGTTCCCCCATTGCAAACTTAGCTGGTGCTCTTTGAAGCTTCTCTCCGGTTCTGGGGTGTTGTGACAAGTTTCTGTCGATTCAGCTGGTGCATGCTTGAGGTCATCACAAGCCTCCCTTGAAGACCTGCAAGAGAGGGGCCTTGTGTGATTTCTGCCACTTGCACGATGGGCGCCGCAACCGACGCAGACGCAAAGTGCAGGAGCCTTGGCCTTGACGAGGGAAGCTTAAAGGCTTCAGCGGCTTCAGGCTTTCTGCAAAGCTGTGTGAGAGCAGATTCAAACCTTTTGCGCAGGACCGATCTGGTCGGATGACTTGGGATGACACTGAAATACCAGTGCTTCAGGGCATCCACTTGTAAGCGCTAAGCACCTTCCGTGCGGAATGTAATGCGGTGTGTCTACCTGCTTGCCAGGAGAGCCTGCAACGCAACAGAACACGTGTACTGTACAGTGCAGTTGGCACGGTTCCGGAAAGGGCCGTGTGCATGCGCATGTTTGCCGTTTGAGGGATTCTTTCACGAGCAGCATGTCGCAGGAGCTCGGGGGGATATGCGATTGGCATGTGTTTGCTTCAACAGCAAGCAAATACAGCCGCACCTTCCTGAAGAGATCGCGATTGCGGGAGCAGGATCCTCGCCCCAGCCGATTTCCAACTACAAGCATGGCTGCCGTGTGAGGAATCACTTCCACGAGCGGCACGTAGCAAAAGCTGGGGCTTCGGGTCGTTTACGCTTTGCGTTTCTGAAGCTAGATCGGGTGTTGTTTGCCCGACAGGAAAAACACGGCCACAACTCCCAGCAGAGAGTAGCGGGGGTAGGATCCCTGCGCCAGCCGAATCATTCTCGACAGCATGCATGCCTGCCGTGTGAGGAATACTTCCACGAGCGGCATTGTGAAACATTTTCACTCCCGCGATGTTAAGGCTTTCCAAAAGATCGCGATAAAGGGCTGTTTGTGCTTCGCAGCTCTCCCTGCTCTCTGGAAGAGTGCGCTTCCTTATGTGCAAAGGTGGCGAATAGCCGAGATCAGTGCCTTCAGCTGCTGGGTAGCAGTTTCTCCGCATGCTGTGAGGAAGCCCATGACCTTCCCCCGAGCCTTGGTCATAGTCTGTGATTCGCTTCACCTCTAGCCTCCTCAAAGCCTACCCGATCAGAATGCTGTTACCTGAACATGGAGCAGATCTATGTTCAGGTCAGAACATGGCCGGCGATTGCTACGCTTTTGTGTCAGATGCCCATCCCAACCGGGACATCCAGAACGTTTCGCTGCTGAAAGGACCTGCTTTTGTCCGTCTCCGTTTGCAGACCGCACGGGCGTTCGCGTCACCCCTTGCAAATGTTTGAAGCATAGACGCAATGTGCATCGTGATTGGAGGGTTCATCGAAGTGGAGAACGGCCAGTGGGTCAACCGGGAGGACTGCACTGCGTTTCTCCCTTTGCGCCTGCCCTCTCTCTCTCTCTCTCTCTCCCACTCGTTCTCTCTCGCTGATCGGATCTTCAGAGATGTTCGGGAGGAATGGATGCATGTCAGGACGCCGGCGTGTCAAAACTCGGCCGCCTGGGCGACCAGCTCGACGAGGCTGAGGCTGAGGAGGCCCAGGCCCGGAGTGCCTGCGGCCTCTCGCTGTAAGATGTCAGGCACAGTTTTGCGGCTTGCGTGCCAGGCTTCAAGGGCCTTCATCAGCTAAGAACTTGAAAGGGATCCACTTTGGCTTCCAGCCGCTTCACCAAAACAGACTCGACGACAGAAACAAGTCTCGTCAAGGTTCTTCTGTTGGCCGCCTCGCACTTTCCACAGGCAGAGGAGGCTTGCGATGCGACGCTGGAGCAGCCCGAGGACAACCATTGAACCGTACAGAAACATGCCATGCGGTGGGTTGTGCGACTTCGGAACGCGGGCCTACCGCAGCAGGAGAGTCCCGCTTTGCAGATGCACAGCACTGTGTCACGAGAGTTTCATCGCGGTCCGTGCTACAAGCAGGACGGCGAGACCTCGAAATGCCCTGTGATGCCAGTGGTCCATGCCTCGATGGTCTGAGTACTCTCCCTACCAAAACAAAGTATGTACATACGAGGGCGAGGGTGTAGCCTTGCCAGCCAAGGTGCGCAAAGCCAGGGACAAGGTGGTTCAGGCTCGGTCATTTGTGGAGGTCTTTGTCGCCCTATGCACATGCCCACATACCTACTAAGAAATCATACCGACTACGAGATGAAACAGGCATTGCTCGTAAAGCTTTTCTTGCTTTCCAAAGAGCTTGGCATCGCATGGTTTGAGTCTAAGTGCCGTCATCAAGGGCAATGTTCCAAAAGCATTGCATGTGGCTCCTTGGTTTATTCAGATGCGAAGCATTTATTGCAGTTGACTGCAGACTGCTGTGGTGTAAAGATACTTTGCGTCTGCTGCGTTGTTTGCACCCGAGATACTGGGTTTGTTGGGCATCACCCCAGTCTGTGGAATCGTCGCAGGATCAGCAGGGATCAGGCAGAGACGCCTGTGGGAGACCCCCCGAGCACCCCTCAGGCAGCAAAAGAAGCTGGAAAGTGGGCCAGGCAGGCGCTTTGGCAAGGTTCAGAAACGTATTGAAGCCAAATATATCCCGCTGTATCTCCATGGGACACAACACCTTCAGCCTCGGTTCGTGAACGTCGAGGGAATCGCTGGGGTCTAGGAAGGAGTCGAACTCTTGTGTGTTCAGGGTTTTCAGGGTTTCGGCGCTGGAGGAGGCTTTTCCCCAACTACCTGGGAGCACCAGATGAGGAGGACCGGCTGCAAGTGAAGTCATGCCCCCAGGAGCGGTAACGAGAAGAGGCAAGATTGAATTTGGTGGAGATTAGGTGTGTATCTCTCGCAAGACCTTGTCCGTCTTTTCTTCCGTTGCAGGCCGCGGTGTGTTCGGTACTCAAACGATCGTACCATTGCGCTTGCCACATCTCCGCCCCTGCTACTGTGGACAATCTACTTGTAGCGTGCGAGGACATAGCCCCCGAAAAGCAAAACCCGCTCTTTGCTGGAGATGTACCTGCAAAGGCGCGTCGATCGGATGCAGGGCTCTGGAGTGCCGACAGCATTTGTAGGCTCTACACTGGCGTTTCAGATTTGTCGTCTTCGAGTGTAGTCGGCATGGTATCGAAAGGACCACACCGAGACTGGGGCCGCAGGTGAGGTTGCGACGCAGAGATCAAGATGCGTTCGTGGAGGGTTCTTTTGTGGGCTGCCGACACGAATCGCCTTCTAAGATCTCCGACTCCCCACCACGAAGGACCCCCGCAACCTGTGGTCCAGTCTGTCAAAGCAGAAGTGTCCGGAATGTCCCGTCAGAGCGCAGGGCGGCTGCAACTTACAGACTTTGGACGGCTGCAGCTTCAAGGACTGGCTGGGTTCCAGGCACAAAGGCAAAGGGCATCTCTAGAATCTTTTGTTTCACAGCAACTTGTGGCCATTCCAGGGCAGGTTGCCAATCAGAAACTGCACTTGACAAACGAGGAGCAGTTCTTCATCGAGAAGCAGCGGAATTCTTCAGAAGACCAGCGAAAAAGCGCGCCGTGGCTATTTGGAAAGTTTTGCGTGCGCTTGGAACGGATTGAATGTGCAGAGTGTCGTGCCTTGATGTTGTTCGAGATCCTACACCCTAATGAGTGCCGCCTGTCTCCTCCCGAGAATCTCGCTTTGCCCAAGGAGCTGCAGCGTCTTGCCCGGATGTACCTCAGTGGCACTGGCCAGAAGTTGGCCTCCATCTACACACACAGTACAAGTGTAAAAACCAGCTAGCACTAGAGATACTGGAGGCGTAAACTGCCTCACATGACCTGCACGCACAGCGACAGAGAGTTTAGATTGACTTGACTAAGCACGGATACGTTTGTTCAGCTTCAGTCGAAGTAAAGCCCAGAACGGACGCGGAACAATGACTCTACTTGTCAAGTCGATGGGCGCCCTCCTAACTCCCATCTGGCTTCCAATGTGTGTCTTCCAGAAAGCGTCAGGATGAAACCCTTCAGACAACGGACCTGACGCGACACCTCCCTTGAACTCTACCCGTTTACTTTGTACACATCGTTTGCAGTGGACATGGCTAGCGTCTCGAATATATAGGCGCCTTGCAGGCTCATGGTCCAAGGATGCAGTAGAAGCCCGCAAACTTCAAGTTTTGCCATAGGCAAGACGTTGTCATGAAGCCAGACCAGAAGGATTGGCTGATGTGACCTGGCCTTTCGGGGAAACGGGACTCTGCCTCGAGAGATGTCTGCTTCGCCGAGGACCCGGGTTCGAATTCTACAAGAGCTCACCGCCAAGGATGCCTAAGGCCAGCACTGGCCTTGTTCCAGAGTAAAAGGGTTTCGAGCTTGCAACGAAGCATAGGATTAGTGTCCCTGTCTTGTGCAGTCGAGTTGATGACATGCCTTCACAGGCTTCCGAAGCTGAGTTGCATCTGGGCTGCGGCAGCGCCGCGATGGAACTCCTTGGCCTGTGAGTTGGGTTGTCACTTCGGAGAGTATACGGGCACTAGACTACTAGAGTTGAACGGGAACGTTTGGGCATTCGGGGCAGGAAGGGCAGGTAGATTCCTTTGCATCGCACGCATCTGCAGCCGGAGCAAAAAGGTGCAACTGTCGAGTGCCTAAACCTGTTCGTGAAGCTTGCATGTGGCGATGCTCGAGGCAACGACACAGAACACTAGTCGAGACTTGGGGTTGCTGCTAGTACCACACGTTCGTAGCTAAGGCCTGCCGGTGCCTCGCGCCTGCGTAATGGAACTAATCTTGCAAGGCTTCAAGCAGCGGAGTCCTCGACAAAACTCTAAGAGTTTTACCAACATGACCTCTCGTCTTGTCGGTCCCAGCAGTGCTGTTCTCAGGTCTCGTGAGCAAAAACTGCCCGCGACCTCTCCTGGGAACTATGCTGGGCCTTCGCCTCGGAAGGGGAGGCGATGCAAAGGCGCATCATTTTGTGGCGGCATTTACACAAAACTTGAAACACCGTGGTGGGGAGTGCCCAGGGCCCAGAGAGTTCTCTCACTCCCTCAAATGCTTACTGTCGCGCCCAAAGGTCTCAAAAATGCCTTGGACGGCATGGCGGGCACGGCTGCTCCAGCCGCTGCCTGGCCGCCAACAAGAGGGTCTCTTTCCCCTCAAGCGATCTTCGTCGCTGCTTTTCTTGGAGGCAGCGTTTTCTCTCAGTCTCTTTCGATGGGTTTGCGTTTTTGCGTTCAAGACCCATCGCATTGCTCGATGTATTCAGCTTCGCTGGCCCGCTGTACTAGTACCAGGCCCTTTTGCCGCCTCTTGCGACCAATACGTGTACGTTGTACTACGGCTTTGGCGTTTGACTGCCAGAACTTCCTGCCTGAAGCTTCAAGTCCTGAGTTTCCACATCTGGTTGGAAGACTCGAGAAAGACCAATCCGCAACTTCGGTGAGTTTTGTGCTTGAGGTTGGCGGGATGCTGTACTACATCGGCAGGTGCAATGTGTCCGGGGATCTCTGGAGGTAGGTTTCTCTTTTCACAGGCTCTTGAATGCGGGCCATCGCCATTCTCTAGTGGTGCGGGGGCAGTAGTTGCATGGCGGTGCTGTTTGTCATGTTGTCGCAGCATCGGCAGCACTGCAGTCGTAGCAGTGGCAGTAGTAAAAGTAGTCGTCATCGTCGTCGAAGTCGCTGTCATAGTCACAGATGTCGTAGCAATCGTCGTTGCAATCGCAGTAGTCGTGCAGTACAAGTAGTACTAGGACCTTCAACATCGCAACCATCTTGTGCCTTTAACAGTCGTCTTTGTAGACTAAGCGTCTTTTGCGAGGCCGCTGCCTTACACTGTGGCAGCAGTCTTCGCCTTCGCCATGGCCGTCTTCTACATCTCCTTGCCCCCTTCTGCCCTGACCCCGACAGTGTGTTTTGGGCTTGGTGCGGTCTTGGCAGGACTTCGGGGCCCAGGCTGTAGTGTGGCTCGGCGGTTACCGCGTGATTTGGCGCCGACGAGAAACTACTTGTGCAAGGGCTGTGAAGTCTCTCGTGTGCCCTCTTGTTTCTGGATCGCCTGTCACAGCCTATACATACCGTTTTGCCGTTCAACTGGAAGACACTGAAGCTTCAAAGTGCTGCTTGTGCCAGCGCAGCATGCGAGGTCAGCAAGCAGGATATGCCAGCGCCTCAGTAGTCATCAAACCTGAAAGCCTTGTGTTCCGGCTTTTCGTCAGGCCTGAAACTTGTCGAATTGGTCCCTTGCAGAGACCACCACAAGAGCCAGAGCTTCCCGTAGTTGGATGACAACCGAGCCGGGTGGCGGGCCGGCATACAGGCTAGGAATGTGACAGTAGAGACCGCACCATCAGCCACACAGGTCACACATGTTTTTGATCCTGGCTCCAAGCATCGTAAGCGCCAACTGCAAGCATCGGCACAAGTATCCTGCTCGCACCCTCCTACAGTCTGCACGGTATGTCAGTATTTCCGTTAAGAAAATCCTGGTGGAACCCCGAAAGCCTGACGAGAAGTGACAATGAGGTCCGAGGAGCTAAAGCCGCTGATGACGCCCAAAGTCAAGGTGCCTGGGTGCCCCTGTTCTGACAAAGGCCTGCTAGGAGTGCCCGACGCCCATCATTCCCAATGGCCCGTGTCTGCGCGGCTGAAGCGGGCTGTACTGCTAAGTTTGGCCGAAGCTTGGGTTCCAACTCTCCATTCACCTTGACCTCGCAGAGGGTTCTTATCTATTTCTTTGTTTAATCTAGCTGCATGAAACCCGGCCGCTGGCAGAGCTGTCAACTGCATTCCCTGCGAGGCTGAGACAGAAGCGGAAGTGAAAGCTCCCCTGCATCACGTGCAGTCGTCTGCCCTGCCGCTGTCGATGTATGCATGGGCCCTGGAAGGCTACGCCTTGTCACGAAAGCTAGCTCTGTGGAGCTCGCGGGAGTTGCCCTTTAGCAATTCACTTGTATTAAGGCACTAGGGAAAAAACAGGGTTTGCACCTTATCAGGTGGGACGTCCAAGAGTTAAGGTGGGGGGTAGGGGGCCCTTCACCTTGTCATCCCCCCCCCTATCATGAGGTCCCCCCCCCCCCTCCTCAAGGTCCCTTGGTTTTGTTTGTGTCTGACGTTCGGCGACTGAAGTGCGGTCTTCTCTCCAGAGTTACCTCTAGTTGTCGTTCGCACATTACTTTCTCAAGAGTTAAATGAACCAGCAACGCCTGCACCCTTCACCGGCCCAAACTTTCCCTCCGCTACTGTCGTGCACATCGCTTTGCAGAGCTCAGCACCGGACCTCGTGCTTCTAGCTTTCGTGACCAGCTCTCAAGTTACTTGTTGCAAGCGACGTAGATGCCAAGAACGTACCCGGCAAACCGTGGGGTTGTGTCGGGGGCTAGTCGCAGATTCTTTCACGACATCCGTCATTCCGAACGACAAAAGGTACGAGAAACACATTCGTGAGACAAATGCAGTCATCCATGCGTCCACACATTTGCTGTCAATGCGTGGCTTTTTGCGTCTTGCATCCTCGAGGCACTGTGCATGCAACCTTCAGCAGTCATCTTCGCAAGTGCGACATGCCGTTCCATTCCTCGTTCCTTAACACTCATTCGTGTAATTCCACGGCCTCTTGCTGTGTCTGTCCACATGGATACATAGATCCTACAGCTGTTTTTTTTGCACTGTCTTCAGCCCTCAAACATACGAACCTTGAGGCTTTGCAAACGATTCATTCTCTGGGTTGGGGGTCACCGAGGCCGGAAAGCACTATTCGTCACAGTGCCTCCTGAATCAGCTCAGGCGCGACTGGAACGAAGAGTCTTCCAAACTTGCCGCACATTTGAGCCTAGTGCTGGTTTCCCGTCACCAGTGACGAGCTTTGTCTGGAACGTAGCCGAGGGAGTCACCGCAGGATGACATACTACCTGGACGTCCGTGCAGTAGGAGCTCGTGCCAACAACCAGATCTCGCCTTCAGAGACTCGTGCTTTGCTGGTCTTCTATGGTCTTGCTTGTTTGCGCACGGCATGTTTGGCAGTTTGGTCATGGACCCCGAGCTGCGGGAGCTTTACAACATAACGGTGGATCGGATTGAGAAGGCCGGGCCCCTCCAATATACAGCGCTGGGACGCCGGCCGCATGCGAGTGATTCTGCAGTTGAATTCGGTGGGCAATTGCTTCCAGCAGTGGGCAGCAACTCTGGAAGACACAGCCATCATCTTGCTGTCTTCCAGGAGAAGGGCACCGTCGAGGGTACCAGTGGCATTCGTTCAGTTGCCACAGTCTGCAGTGGGCTTTCCGCACCTGGGGCTGCATTGCAATTTTTTTGTCCGAGTGAAGTGTGGTGAACGTTCACGGCAGGAAGCCAAAGAGGGAGTTGGGTTCAGGAGGGTACGTACAAGTAGCTGCTTCAGCGGCATTCTTCCTTCCACCCTGGTGCTTGTTGTCAACTTCCCTACTGTTCCGCCGTGGGGCAAGCTTCAATTCGTCGCCACCGTTCGCTGAAGTCTTCCCTGTTAGCCACACAAAGTCTTAACTCACCGCTTGCTGCGAAATAAAGACCGGATCACCTCCAGGTCCTCCCTCGATCCAGACCCTTGCATGGATTCAAAGCACGGACGGACAGCGATGGCCAAGCGCCAAGTCGAGGCCCGAACGCAGCTGAACCAGATGAACCGGAGCCTCGGCGAGGCCTCTTGTGCGAAAATCCCCCCCCCCCCACCGCTACTGGTACTGTATCGAAGGGAGTTTTCCAGGTGATCGAAAGTGATCCCTTCTTTGTTGGATTTGGATTTGGAGCACAGAAGCGGCGGCTCATGTGTTTTTGGTCAGAAATACCCGTGGCACACTGTTGGAAACTGCCCGAAGGTTGGGGCAGGTATCTGAAGCAGGCTTTTCGATGGCGGTGTACCCCGATGGTCCGTGTGGTGCTACATTTCTATTGCAACAATCAAGTGGTGTAAGCTGCAGACATGCATACACTGCTACTGCAGTCGTGTGTTTTAGCTTTGTTTCCCCAGCCGACACAGGTACACAGACCACGCAGACCATGCACGCGTACGTCATACTATTGCACAAGTGCTCTACGAAAGCTGCTTAGGTACCTGTACGTGTATGTATGTGTATGTACGTATGCATGCAAATGTTTGCAGGCATGTATGTAAGTACGTACATATACTTATGTCTATCTGCACATACGTGCATTTTTGCGCTTATTTTTCTACCTGGGCAGGTGCGGCCTATGAGCTCAGACAATGCGCCTGGATCTCACGGGGCCGGATCTGGACAGGGTCGCAAGCACTCACGATACGGAGAAGGACTTCGGTATCCGGTCGCAGAAGCACTTGATTCCGGCCTGAAACTACGGCCTTAAACTACATACTTGAGTAACTGGCGACATGCCTGACCCGACTGCGTTCCGTTTGTAACGGCTCAGGTTAGCAGCACATCTGCCACGGAGAGATGACGACTCGCCAGACCGTTCGATGGCATGACAGATGTCAAAAGGCTCTGATTGGACATTTCTGCTCTGCTGTGTCCAAGATCAGCTTCAAATGCCTCAGCAAGTACGATGCTGCTCTTGCCGATGATCCGAGCTGCTTTAGTGGACTGAGCCGTCCTCTCTGGTGGCCAATTCCTGCAAGCATTGCACGGCACGTATCACCAGATATCTAACCTTGGTCCCGTTGCTTGGCTTTGGCTCACTTGCAATTTAACTGAGCGGGTGGCATCCGCAATGCTTGAGGCTCGCTTGCCGCTACCCGTTGCATGAACCCAGGTGAACAGATGCCCATTTTGATAGCGGGGCCTAGCAGGACTACTTACGGCTCGAAATCATGATGACATACCGGACAACGAGTAGTTACCGAGCCCCAGCGCCCGTCAGCTCCCACATTGCATCCCACAATCGCATGCGAGGTGATGCACTGGCGATGAGGAGGCGAAATACGCTTCGGCGGCGGGGCTGCATTATGCCATTATGCAGTTCTTCTTGCGAGTGAGCACAGTGTGGGACTGTGGGACAGAGACGATGCAGACTCAGGATTCGTGTGGTTGCAATTGCCGACTAGACGGATAGCCACATCGCCGACATGGCAGAGGACTGGTCTCCTTTGAGACTTCCAGTCTCTTGAGACATTTCGTTGCGTGTGAAGGTCCTTAATGGCTGGCCCAGGAGTGCTCAGTGGCAGTTGGGGTTCGGATCAGACCCTTCAACGATCGAGAGCGTGCGTTGAATGCGCAGGCCAGGCAGGCAGAGGGTTTGCAGCTAAAACAAGCATGCTAGCACCGAGAAGCACGGATCTCGGTAAAAGTCTTGCGGCCTTGTGCCCAAACATACTGTCTCGAGTTCTGGATGTTGAGGTTGCTTCCACGTGTGAATCCGTTGCCGAACGACTGCTGCCAGTCAATCGCGCACACAACAAACACAGATTGCAAGAACCATGCCGAGGTGTGTCGGGGCGACAGAGACTGTTGTTTCCATCCATTCTTGAATTTGCACTTGTAGCACCACGCCCGCACGTCCGCATGAATCTCGACGATACCTTCAAGCCTTAAAGCCAAATCAAGGATCATCGGACACCAGAACGATAGAGCTTTTCCGCGTGGGGCTGCATCGAACTGGTATCTCCCTTCTGCTCAGCTCTGCGTCGAAGTGGATGGCCCGACCACAATCTTGTGGCTTGGCTGCAAGTTCTGCGATTGCGTTTCGGAAGGCTTTTGAGCTTCATTCACGACCCCCGAAGCGGTGCAAGCCATCCACAAAGTCTGGCTCACCTTGACGGCTTGTCGGGCTTGTGACTAGTAGCTAGTGGCATGCAGCCATCGGTGACTGATCTGCCCAAGTGTCCTAAGGGCCCAAAGGCCCTGAAAGGCAGCCTTCTCTTGCAAGAACTTTGAGTGCCCAGGCAGGTTCCGCCAGAGCAAGCAGAAGCCGGGAAGAACAAGGCAGAGTGTTCAGCAAGGCATTTATGTCTGACACCTCTCCGAAGGGATCGGGGACGCCTCCCGTGATCAAGACGTCGCCAAAGCTCTTCGAAGTTTCTTGTTTTGGTCCTGGGCCCATTCGAGACATGAGCCTGTGCTGGTGCGAGTTTGCCGCCTGGTCGCAGGAGCCAAAGAAGTTCACGTTCGATGCTTCCTTCTGGAGTCGATGCCTCTGCTGCCACGTCAAAGGGCGGCTGAGGTATTCCTTTAAATCCTTTAAAAGCCACGCTTTTCCGAGGTCACGATGGCTTCGAGGTGGATGGTAAAGGCTACTGCCATGCAGCGCCCGGGAGCAAGTTGGGAGTCCCAGAGCCGGAGAAACGGAGATCTCCTCCTCCTCCTCTTGCCACTGCCCTGGGAACCGTTCGAGAAGTCCCCTTCCTCGAGTCCTCGAGGTATGCTGATCAGCAGCTTGTTTTCGACACCTTTGGTCGACGCATTCTGGACAGCGCAGCCTGGCGGAATTCGATGGGATTGCCAAGGAGTGTTGGGAAAGCATGATTGGCTTCGCTAGAAGGATCCATCTGAGTGTAAGCTACCCCACAAAGTTTTGGTCCCAGCTCGCCTCCTTGGAGGCGAGCTTGAGACCAAGGGCAAGTGATAGAAGCGCGCTGCCCAGCGGAACCTTGCGGAAGCTTAGGCGTGGGAAGGGTACCACTGCTGTTTGTTTGCCTATGGCCGCTGCCCCAGACTGCGACGGGGAAGCTCGAGTGTCTGACAAAAGGGTATAGAGTAGGCTTTTCAACTAGGCGTTCCCTCCGCACCACGGCTGTACTTGAATCCGGCAGGTCAGACGGGAGCTGGCAAGAGCTACTCCATGGTGGGCTACGGTGCCAACAAGGTTGGAACATGTTGGGACTGGGACCAAAGTCCAAGATGCACGGGGACTGAAGACCGGACGTGCAGTGGGCCGAGTTCTGCGATCGGGGTGGTGTGCTGTTCTCACACTCACCATGTGGCTCCAGCGCGCAGGGCATCGTGCCCATCTCGTGCGAAGAGATTTTCAAGAGGATCGGCGCCTGCCACTCAGAATCCATCAGCTTCTGGAGCCCTCTCTCAGCCGACGAACCCCTGGGACGAAATCTCTAGAACTTCATCTCTGCAGCTGCAGGGCATGCCCTCTGGAAGTTTCTCAGGGCTCACGCTGGTTGGGGCTCTCGAGGGTTTCAGACAGAAGCCGCATTGAGCTCCGCCACTACATGAGGAGCTGCGAAGGGAAAGGGTGCAAGCCTAAGGCCAACACAGATGCGAATCTGACCTACGAGGTAATGGTGCAGGAACCTCAGCTCGCATGCACAGGGCCTTCTAGCTGTCTTTCCGTTTCGAGTTAGAATTGTCGGACACACACACACACAGCCCGATCTTCCAGGTCGATGGTCGAAATCTACAATGAGCAAGTGCAGGACACAGGGCGCGATCCTGCCTTGCCATGGATTTCTTAGACAGGGCATTCTCGTGCATCAGTGCAAAGTGGGGCGGCCCTTAGTTGAGGGCTGAGTCCCATGGAACTGGCCGCCCGTGGCCCGAAGGACCTCCTGGTGCCTCCCAGGGAGCGCCCCAAGAAAGGCGCGCTCCATGAGACACGGCTCACGGCATGGCTCATGGGATTCATGGCTGTTGCTTTCGGTTTCATGCCAGACTTTGCTCCGCTCTCGCAGGCTTGGAGATCCGTGAGTCACAGCAGTGCCGGCCTCAGCAAACAGTAGGGCTGTAGTACCGTATTACGCATATACTTATGGTTGTGAGGACGGCAGCATGTCTTCATGCGCTGCAGTAGTCAACTTGCAAGTTTCTGTCAGTCTTGGAGCCTCGAAGTTGACAGTTCTGATGTGCTTGGACACAAGGCAAGCGCATGCCGAGCTTCCACGACGTGTTGCCCAGTAGAATGCAATGGAAAACCCATGCAGATCCACTCTGACTCTGCTGTTGCTCAACGCTCAACTGCGTGAGGCTGGGCATCTACATCGCGGGAGTCTCCAGAAGAGCTGTGGACTCGTACCCCTCTATCGAGGTCGCCGCCCTTGCTGTTGTCTCGAGCCGAAGACCTGCCCGAAGACCTGAACCTTGCACGAGCAGTGAGCCCACTATGCAGACGATGTTCCAAATAAGACTCGGGGAAAATGATCATTTACTCTTGGATGCGACCTTGAATGACAGTGTTTTGACGAAGTGTGATCAGGGACGAGACCACACGACGACTTGTCAAGTTCCACCCTCATCATCCAGGGATGTCGCGCCAATCCAGTTTCCGGCTACGTCTCTTTAGATGTAAGACACGGCATGTTCTGATAAAGCGGGCACCTTGCCATCTCGAGCGGAAACCGCTTTGTCATCCGCCCCTGCGGTTGGAAAAGTAAGTGAAATACAATCTGGCTGAATTCGTGTGATCCAAACGAAGAGCTTTGGTCTTGCGCTGTGTATGTCATGCCTGGGTTTTAACGGTGCGGCAATCCACGGCATGCCCAATTCTACACCGAGCAGACAGATTGCAAAGAATCTGCCCTTGGCTGCAAAGCGTACAGGCTGTGGTGGAGGAGGGCACGGAGAACCGGACCGTGGGTTCAACCCTGCGCCGGCCTCATGGGCTGCATGGTTCATGGAGCTCAGGCGATGTGTTGCATCTGACCGATAAGCCGATAAGCCAGCTTCCGGCAACGAGGGCTGACAAGTGCATTGCTGTGCCCGCCTTGTTCGACGGTGGAATCTGTGCCCCCCTTAAATGACGTGCTTTTCCCTGCGCCCTTTATTGAGTGCATCGAGCCTGCCTCAATCGTAAGGGAGCCAGAATAAGTTTTCGAAGATGGCAAGATCCAGACTGTAACCTAGCAGAGCTCGAACTCTTTCGTGGGAGGCGAAAATTGCCGGGGTAGCTTCAGCACCTGAAACTGGCGTGCGTGCTTCCGTAATCTATGTGCCGAGGATGAATGCCACATCCAGCAGGGCACGAGCCTGATCCAGCATCCATGGGTTGAAGATGGGCAGCTCTATGAAATGTGAGAGAGAATGAGAAATGCATTCATATTAAACGTACAGACTCCAGAAAGAAAATCAAAACAACCATCGGGCGCACATATTTGGCCCGTGATCTCGGAGCTACATACTTTGAACCTGTTGCATGAAGTGTTCTATTCTGCATTGTCCGCAGCAAACTAGAGCTGTGCAGAGCTTGGCCGTGTTACAAGAACAAGTTGTGCCACAGACCATACAGGAAATATCCTGACGCAAAACAGCTCGCTGCAATCATGAATGCGGCCGTGCACCTGGAACATGACTTGTTTGTGCTTGACTGAGGCCCACACCGTGCTCACCATTGAATTCAAGCAGGTTTCACAGGCTGCCGGTGTCGCTTTTTTCTGAATGGGGTTATAGAGTTGCACAGAGGGTGAAACGAGCAGCCACGGGGCAAGCAGAGAAGGCTGTCGCTTTGTGTGGAGGCTGCCGGCCAGCAAGGCCAGAAGCTGTCGTTGATCAATCTGGTGGACTTGGCTGGCAGCGAGAAGGCCACCGAAAAGAAGGGGTACTGGGTGCAGTATCATTAAATGCTACGTAGCAACGACGCACTGGAGCATGAATCTCTGCCCAGATGGGACTGCAGGAACATGTTTGGGGAGTGGTTCAGAGCAGCCTCAGTTCCAACGGGACTTTTGGCCCGGGTATGAAAGTGGAAGCAAGAAGGGTCACGCTTGGCTATGCGTGGCTTTTCCAGGAGGGGAGTGAGGGCGCTCTGCAGGGTTCCATCCCCAGGCCGGGCAGACGGGAGCCAGCGGAGATCGCCTAAAGGAAGGCTGCGCCATCAACAAGTCACTGCCGCTTGGCCTGCGTAAGTCTCTGGCTGGTCTAGGAGGCTTCTGGGTCTCGCTGCTGAACATGCGAAGATCCGAGCACCACACCGAACCCTGCGTAGGGCGTTGGTTCAGGGGATTCTTGGCTTCAGGTACTGGGAAGGCAATTCTCAAGGTTTCTAGGTGAGCGAAAGTGGGAGTCAGGTCCGCGCTGGGCAACGTGATCGAGAAGTTGGCGGACAAGGACCGCGAGTGCGTTTCAGGAGCTTCGGAACTGCTTCAGGAAGGCTCTGGATTCTTCTCCGGTTGTTTTTGCAACGCTTGAAAGTACTGTGCCATAACCTTCGAGGGTTCTCACCAGGGAGCTTTTCGAGCGCTGCACCGCACGGGAGGCCATGGGCAAGGCGAAGGCCAACGTGCCTTGGCTTTGAGATCGACGAAAGCCTCCGGGGGTCCGCTCATCACGGAGCTGTCGATCTTTGTTTTGTCTCTGAGGCAGTCGTCCCGTACCGTGACTCGAAGCTGACGAGGTTGCTGCAGAACGCCTTGGGCCTCAACCTCGGCCAACTTGCAGACGCTGGTTTCGTTTCGAATCCGTCTCGGCATTGCGCACCTCAGGCGGTTCGAGCAAGACCGTCATGATCTGCACTCGCCTCGGAAACTGAGCATGAACGGTCGTCAGCAAGCTCAAGACAATTAGCTGACAATGTAAAGTCAAGAACAATCCCACAACGAATACGCTCGCAAATCTCGACGACCACGTGCATCAACTAGCATTGCCAAGTTCACAGCAGTGTCTTTCAGCAGATCCCAAGAAGTTTGCACCACATTGCATGCCAGACCGCATCGCTTCTCCCAACGGATGGGCAATTGCATGTCGGGTTCTGTTCTGTGCGACTCCCCCCATGTTGCTGTAACTCGAAGAGTCTTTCAGGGTGCAAGTCTCGATGCCCTATGTTCCGAGATGTTCCGAGGTGCGATCTCGCCGGCATCGTTTGCTCCTTGAGATCTGCGCATGCTGAACAGTGAACAGTCGCCTTCGAGGCAGAACAGAGCAAGCCGGGCTTAGGATGTCCTGCGATGTCTTTGGGTGTGTTTGTGCTCTGCTCGTTGCGGCCCATGTGCCTCCCGGGCTAACGACTTCTACTTGGAAAGCCTGCAAATGCTTGGAGCGTTTCTCCCGAAGGGTGCTGATCACTCGACTTGGACTGGGGCAACAGCAAAGGTCCAACTACGAAGAGACACTGTCCACTTTGCGCTATGCCGACCGCTGTGGCCCGAGTATACTTGTGGATTGTAGTGCAATCACGACGATTTTGTGCATGGACGTCCGACCCGAGTCTAATGCATCCGTCGCAGACAAGTCCGTGAAGATTCCTTGAGGTGCCAAGCGCATCAAGAACACAGCGAGCATCAACGAGAACCCTCAGGCCAGAGAGTGCTCACCCTGCTGCATGCTGCAAGCATTGCCTGCGACACTCCATCCAAAAGCCCGGTAGCAGGCTGAGCGTCACTCTGTCAGGACAAGCTCATCCGACAGTTGCGAGAGGAGAACGAGAAGCTGCGGAATATGGTGGGCAGCGGGCGGCACCTCCTGATTATCATATGTTCAATGCACTGGAGGGTCCTTTGTATCTTCACTCTCAGAGTTGATATATGCTGGTTGATGCATGTCGTGCTTCTCGATCTTGTGGTCTTGCTTCTCTCCATGATGACACGCTGTGGCTGGGCTGCCGCCGTGGCTTTGGGGCCACTGCCGCTGCTGCTGTAGCTACTTGCTGATGCTGTTTAACTGCAGTGGCCAGGTCTCCGAAAGAAGGCGAGAGTGAGGCCCACCACGTTGGCTTGAGCCCGCAGTTTGGATTGGAGTTTTGCCATCTCAGCATCTGCGCCGTGAGATCGGGTTGACAACTAGCTAGCACCTGGAACGGATCATAAGGTGACAACTGAGCCTTTGGCTTACAGGTTGACAAACCGGTGCTCATTCTGTCATATACCCACGGTGGAGCAAAATGCAGACTTTGGGTGTCTTTCTAACTCTGCTACACACCGCGAATGCCAGGACATGTTCCACAAGCAGGCCGAGATCGCGGCGCTAGAGCAGGTGTGGCTGCCGTCTGGGTCTAGAGCGTCGATCTTGAATTCACAAATCAGCCAAGAGGGTGGCATTTAGTTGCCTTTAGAACAAGACATAGCCAGTTGCGGAGCGGTACATACTAACAGGCTCAGTGCCTCAGCCTCCAAACCAAGACCGCAGGATGTTCCGTCTAGCTCCCGTATGTCTTCAATCAGGCTTCTTTTGACGCCATCCAGAACAAAGAGCAAGCTTCAAGAATCATCCGAATGTGCAACAGAAAGGCATTGATGGAGATGCAAAAGAGCTTCGCGGAGCGGTTGTCGGAAGCACAAAAGGCCCCGCGCCAGGGTGGCATTTGCTATCTCTGTTCTGGCACGCAGTAGTTGCGAGTGAAGCATAACCCAGCACCCTGCATATCTTCATCCCGACCCGGCCTCAACATACAGTAGCGGTTCCTTCGCCTGAGCTGGAACCCTTAAGCATTTCTGCGGAAGTGGTTGTTCTCGTTAGCTCTTTCTCACAGGAGCGACAGGAGATCCCTGTGCCAAAACAGCTGCAGAGAGCCAGGCTGGTGCCAAGAAAGAGAAGTCTTCCGACACGAAACTTCCACACATCGCCAACCTCAACGAGGACCGGATGCGAGCCTCATCTGCGTGGGGCTTTCGACAGTGCAGTGCACTAACGCTTTGGCTTTGGCTTCCGGATTTGAGCCCTGACCGCCTTTGAAGTGGAGTCCGCTTTTGGCAGGACCTGCTCCTCACGGCGAAGCTGAAGTTTGCCTTCAAGGCTCCATTGTTCTGGCAAAAGGAGTATCTGAATAGCTTTTTGCTTCTCACAGGAGGGCATCACTCGCGTCGGCCGCGGAAGCCAGGAGGACGGCGATGCGAATCAGCCGGCGACCAAGACCAAGCCATTTGGGCCAGCTTGGATCAAGAACCCTCGGTCAAGGAAGATCGGTTCTCTAGAATTTGTCGCGAGGCCGGAAGTTGCCTTGCAAGTCCCTGGCATCCACCAGGTGGGGTTTGCGCGTGCCCTTGAGCTCTCGCTGAGATGCTACTTGTACCACCTACCCTGGTTTGTGGCTCGTGAAAAAAGGAGCACGCCATCGTCGAGAACAAGGCTGGTGCGGTGACTCTGAAGGCGACAGATCCCGAGGCGACACACGGCACGCGCGATTCGTGTGGCTTCTGTAGAGTGCACTCTGGTGCCTGTGCTGTGAGGCTGCCGGCACCAGCTTTGTCAACGGCACGGCGCTGCAGCCCGGCGTGGCAGGTCGCCCTCCGCCCTCCGAGCCGGACGAAGTTTCTCGTCAGACACGTTGCAGCTGTGCCCTGTGGCCAGTTTCCCTCTCCCATGGCGATCGCGTGGCCTTTGGACAGCTCCTCTCCAGCAGGAAGTGCAGAGTTTATGGCTACTCCGCCTGTCCAAACCACGCAAGCCGAGGTGTATCTTTGTCTTCGTAGAGCCGAGCAAGGCACTTTGTAAGGGCTTATCGCACAGGAGCCTCATTGAACCTCGCAAGGCTGTTAGATTCCTGTACCATGAATTACTCTTGCTCCAGCTGTTCTGCCCCCGCTTGCAGCACTTGGGCACCTAGTGTCCAGTGTCCCCATTAATCTCCTAAGTGATTATACCACTATACTAGCAAGCCGTGAACGCGGCAAGTAAGAAAACCTGACCGAAGGGCAAGATGTGCAGGAAGGTTCAATCTCACCATGTTTCGTTGAAAGTCAAAACTTTTGCAAATGCTGTGCTAGAAATTAGAAGCGATAAGATCGCAACCACGAATGGTGCAGTGACGGGAAGTGCTGCATAGTGGCTTTGCGTTTTATGGTAATTTACCTGACAGCAGCAGCTGCATGCACAATCACTTGAATACCAATGTTGATCAAAATGCTACGTCAGCAGCAAGAACGATACTCTACATATGTACATACGAGCACCGCAGCAAGACTAAGCATACTATCGCAAAGTTGGTGGGCAAGTTTCAAGCCGCGTCCATCAACATCAGCACGACATGCATTCAGCGGCCAAGTCGGCACCTTGCCAGGGCAAGGTCACAGAGCTCATCAACTCGGGCCAAGTGAGCTATGCCGCTGCCCGCAAGGAGAAGCTTCCTTCCTTCCTTCGATGTTTCCGAAACGTTGTTCATCTACTCTGCACTTGGTTCTGCTGGCCATCCAGACGCGGGCGTGGTAGGAGCTGCAGCAGGGAGAGGTCACAGGGCCAACAGAGGAGGAGCTCAAGGCCGGAGTGAATCCTGCGAAGAGGCAGGGTTGCGAAAGTTCGCTGCGGAGGCCTCTCGACAGCTGGCGGAGGAGCTGGAGCGCAAGGCCCGAGAGGCAGAAGAGGCCAAGGAGAAGGCCAAGGTGCGACAGGGATCCGGTCTGACAGCCCATCCGTTGTAGGCCGTAGCTAGAGCTCGGGAGTCGTTCGGCTGTGCACGGGGATTCTGGTTGGACGAAGTCTGCTTAGATGAGAGTGATCTGCCCGGTTCCACATACGACAGCTGCAAGTAATTCCGCAGCCAGACTATCAACAGCCATTCAAGTCGTCCTCAAAGCTCAATGCAGCTTCGACCCAAAGCAGCGGAAGCGAACTTCTTCCAGATGTTAGACGACAAACTATAGTGAATGTAGTGGACATTGTTGATCACTGCCTCTGATGTAGCTTTTCAGGCAATCCTCCACATACTCTTGTCGTGAACGGTCGGGATCATTCCGGCCCTTCACAGATTCCGCTTTCTTCATCGTCATTCAGTGCGATACTTGTTGCATCTCATTCTCTTAGGGCCACGCGACGCGTGCGTGTTGGAACCGACTTACGAGAAGGAAGCATTCGTGGTCGAGGGCGGAAGGGGGGTCACTTGTGTCTTTTTTGGGGGGGTCACTTGTGTCTTTTATTTGCTTCGGAAGCAACCGTCTCGAACGAGAGGTGCCTTGGTAGGACCTGACCCCGAAAGGCCCTACCCCTAAGAGAGGTAAACCCAGAACGAAACCCTAATGAAAGAAGGCCCAACCCCTAAGAGGAGTAATCGGCCCAACCCCTAAGAGGAGTAAACCCAGAACGAAACCTTAATGAAAGAAGGCCCAACCGCTAAGAGGAGAAAACCCAGAACGAAACCCTAAAAGGAGTAAGCCCAGAACGAAACCCTAATGAAAGAAGGCCCAACCCCTAAGAGGAGTAAACCCAGAACGAAACCCTAAAAGGAGTAAACCCAGAACGAAGCCCAACCCCTAAGAGGAGTAAACCCAGAACCCAACCCTAAAAAGAGTAAACCCAGAACGAAACCCTAATGAAAGAAGGCCCAACCCCTAAGAGGAGTAAACCCAGAACGAAACCCTAAAAGGAGTAAACCCAGAACGAAACCCTAATGAAAGAGGCCTAACCCCTAAGAGGAGTAAGCCCAGAACGAAACCCTAATGAAAGAAGGCCTAACCCCTAAGAGGAGTAAACCCAGAACGAAACCTTAAAAGGAGTAAACCCAGAACGAAACCCTAATGAAAGAAGGCCCAACCGCTAAGAGGAGTAAACCAAGAACGAGACCCTAAAAGGAGCAAACCCAGAACGAAACCCTAATGAAAGAAGGCCCAACCCCTAAGAGGGGTAATCCCAGAACCAAACCCTAAAAGATTAAACCCAGAACGAAACCCTAATGAAAGAAGGCCTAACCCCTAAGAGGAGTAAACCCAGAACGAAACCCTAAAAAGGAGTAAACCCAGAACGAAGCCCAACCCCTAAGAGGAGTAAACCCAGAACGAAACCCTAAAAGAAGTAAACCCAGAACGAAACCCTAATGAAAGAAGGCCCAACCCCTAAGAGGAGTAAACCCAGAACGAAACCCTAAAAGAGGAAACCCAGAACGAAACCCTAATGAAAGAAGGCCTAACCCCTAAGAGGAGTAAACCCAGAACGAAACCCTAATGAAAGAGGCCTAACCCCTAAGAGGAGTAAGCCCAGAACGAAACCCTTATGAAAGAAGGCCTAACCCCTAAGAGGAGTAAACCCAGAACGAAACCCTAAAAGGAGTAAACCCAGAACGAAATCCTAGTGAAAGAAGGCCCAACCCCTAAGAGGAGTAAACCCAGAACGAAACCCTAAAAAGAGTAAACCCAGAACGAAACCCTAATGAAGGAAGGCCCAACCCCTAAGAGGAGCAAACCCAAAACGAAACCCTAAAAGGAGTAAACCGTATATGTTAGTTGCATGTGTTTATGTGTACGTATATGTTTACATATAGGTATACGCATGCGTACAATGTGTAATATACAATAAATATCTACACATGTCTAGACACCCCCTCGTAGAGTACGCATGCATGTCTATGTGCATGTGGACGCAGAAAGGGAGCAAGCTGATTGCCTTTGCACTTTATGTATACCGAGCCTGAAACTGAGCGGGGTGAGGTCCTACCAAGGCACCTCTCGTTCGAGACTGTTGCTTCCGAAGAAGGAAAAAGACAGAAGCGACCCCGAAAACAAAGACACAAGCGACCCCCAAAAAAAAGACACAAGTGAACCCAAAAAAAAAGACAGAAGTGATCGGGCACCCTGCGAGGGCCCCTGGGGCCCCAGCAGCTGTCTCCATCCAGGCAGAGGCGGATGCGCTGATGAAGCAGCGGGAAGCTGAGCCCGGGACCGAGATGCCTCAGCGCAGCGCTTACAAGCCGCCCCTTCCTCGCAGAGCGCAGCTACCAGTAGCAAGGGCAAGGACCAGCATCCGCCGAGCTTGGGGTGGTTTCACGCATTCCCGTTGAGGTTCCGGGCGCAGATGGAGACGAAGCAGAAGCAATGGGAGGAGGCTGCGCGGATGGCCGAAATGCTTTCAAGTTGACCAAGCTTGAAGCATGAAGCAAAAGTGTCGGAATGACCCAACATCATGCTCTGCTAATGACCCCTGAAGACTCCATGTTCACCCAACCAGTCCAGACGAGGCCAACCCAATGTAGATTCATTAGACATCCAGTTACATGGCATGATCGGGTTCTCGTAATCTGGTTTGACCTCACCTTCATGGTACGACCTACCGTTGATTCCAATCTTTCTCAATCGATTCAACTCGAAAGGAAGGTAACGCAGCCCGCTTGGACTCCAAACGCATTCAATCCGGTCCAACCGGATCGAAAGTGTTTGAATTCAGACCTTTTTGATTTCGAGATGGTGTTGGATAATGCCCACTCCAATCGCATGTAGTCTAGCTTCCGTGACCTCACGCAGCTAGGCTGCCAAACCAACCCCTCGTGCCCTTCTGCGCGCTGCCAACTTACAGGGACCTTGGTGAGCTGCTGACGAATTCCACAACACGTTGCTTGCACCTCCACCCGCTTCTCTAGACTTTTCCCTACACCTTCTGCATGGCCTGCAGATTCTGTTCCCCAAGTTGCTCAGGGCTAAACCTACTGGACACTCTGCCAAACTACGATGAAAGATCGCGACGGCCCGGGCCAGGAGATGCAGCAACGACAGGCTGCAGAGGCCAGCGAACAGGCCCAAGCAGCGGAGCAGGCCGAAGAGCAAGCAGACGGCGAGATTCCGTTCAAGCAGAGGTTGAAAAAATTCTTCGAGACTTTTTCGGTGCGGGGCATGTACGCGTCATTTACAAAGAGAGCGGGCCTGGTAGTATCGTTTCATTGTCGACTGGATTGCTTTCTGCTTTGGGAAGGCTCCAGCACGGCTAGTTGGGAGGGCCGAGATGAGGGCCCGAGAGCCGCTGCTCTGACCTTGTGATGTGCACGGAGGCTCGCCTTCATGCTGAGGCCTGGGCCTCGGTTTGATTGGAAACCTGAAGAGTCGCGCTGAAAAGTACAAAGCTCGCTCTGAGAACTTCGAGTTGCCGGGGAGACCGTCACGTAAAGTCGGCTTTCAATGGCATGCTAAAGTGCTACAGTAAAGTCTTTGCTAGTTGTGAGACCTTCTCAGGAACTCGCGAAGCTGCAGAATGAGTTTGAGGAGCCCGGGCCCCAGAGGAGTTCCGTAGCCGAGAGTGGCAGAGCGCCGACCACTTTGAAACCGATTCCGCAAACGCGAGCGCCTGGGAGGCGACAGAAGAAAGCAGAGGAGGCTGCTCAGCACAAGATTGAGGCGAGCCCAGGGGAAGAGCTAGAGATCCTGCTGTTGACGGCGAGCAGAGCAAGACATTTGTAGGGGGTCCCCACCCTCAACTGCACAAGAGCATGCTCTGCTGCAGGCCGAAAACTATCTCTCAGTACAGAAGGGAGCTTGCTAAAACTCTCCTTCTTCCAAAGAAGCATCGGTACATTGCTCGGCTTCCCTGGAGCTTACACCAAACGAATTGGCGTAGGCTTGTAGGTAGATTGGTAGGTAGCGGCCGGCAAGTAGGCAGGTGGGTAGGTGGACAGTTCCTTAGGTCTCGGCAGGTCGGTGGGTAGGCCGGTCGGCACCTTCAACATCTGCTTTAGGAGCTCGAAAAGAAGGCCAAAAAGGCAGCGGCGGAGGAGGAAGGCGGCGGCCCGGATCGGGGTGTTGGGGTTTTTGGTGCGTAGCAGCAGCAGGAGGAGGCAGAGTCCAACTTAACCTACGACTAGGATTTCGCAAATGAGCAGCAAGCGAAAAAGGTGGATGGCGATGACGGTACTTTGATGATTCTGGCGGCGAGGATCGGTAGCTGATTATCGCCAACAGGGTCATCATTGTTGCACGTAGTTGTCTTCGACACAGCCCTTTTTGCATATACGTTAAACCCTTCTGCTTGTAGCTGCGGCCGTAGGTGCAGCGCAAGCATGAGCGATGGATCTGCACGCATTCTGCAGGGGCTCTATTCCAGATTCTAGCTGAGTTTGGAGTTTTGAGGCCACCGCCAGCACGAGTTGGCCATGCAGCGGCTAGAGGCTGCCCGAGTCGGGTTGGCGTCACTGTTTCGCTCAGCGAACTGCAAGAGCTCCACCTGCCTTACAGGAGCAGCTGATGATGGTGATGCCCTTGGTGAAAGAGGCATGGCATAGCTCAAAGTGAGCGCATTCATTGTCAAACTTGATTAGCTTCGGTATGGGGTTCTGCGAGTGCAGTGCTTTTGGCACGTGCAGGCAGGCCCGCTGCTTAGGGTTGAGAGTTCGGGATACATCGTCTTTCAACTGCTTCTTGTTTAATGTGTGTCAGGCTCATCGGAGACTTCTTGCGTTTGGAGACACTGCCCATGTTCATAGGTTCCGAGTGTCATTTCACTGCCCATGCCAATTCAGAGCCAGGCGAACCTCATCATTCAGGAGTTGCAGCGGTGGCGTGCCTGCATCTAGAGCCACCGATGTTCGTCTTGCAACATACGGCTCATACTACCCACCTTGGAGCGGTCGATCTATGCCACCACCTTCAAATTCGAACTGCCGTCGCTCAGCGACTTTGCTGACAGGGCCACGGGAGTCGATGGGATTTGCTTTTCGTTGATGCTGCCCCAAAGCCAGAACTCTGTAGACACGAAACCTCGTGCCAACTTCGCAACCCCTCCCCTTCGAAGCCAGTCGGCGTTGCCAAATGTCTTGGCGGGTAACGGATCCTTGGAGACCGCCGGAGGCCGCACCGCCTCGAGACGAAGATGCACTGCGAGCTCACGGCGGAAGGGAAGAGTGGGCGGCGGGCCCCAGGTGACTGGAGCATAAACTGCCAGGAACAGCAACAATTCTCTCCTCCCAGGGTCACTCGCACTTTGCCAAAGTAGTGATGGCCACGTGTGCCGTTTCCACCCGTAGCTCACGCTGGTTGCCAAACAGTCTTGCAACTGAGGGCCGTGAACGTGACAGCAGCGGTGATGCTCAATGGTACGTGGCTCAATTAATCCATGTCGAAGCAACGCTGCCACACGAAGTGATATTCTGAGGCGTGCGCCTCTTTGAGTGGAATCCTGAGACTCTCGAGAACAGAGGCCGTTTGGGAGCCTGTCATTGGGATTGGTGTGCAGCATGCCGCAAGCATACCTCGACGGAGGGTTTCCGACTCTTGATCTACATATGATTATCTGCACAGGGTGGGCAGGGTTAAGAGTTGCTGTCCGTTCAGTCTTAGTCAAGGTGGGACTTGTGAGGGACTTGTTTACGCATGTCCCTTGCAAGTGATCCGAATCTGCTGCAGTTTTCATCCTGCGGGAGCTGCTCCAGCGCGCAGAAGATGAGGGCGTTGAGGTGCGAGTCTGGGCTCGGGGAAAACGGTAAACATGAAGTGGCAAATAAAGAGGAGAAAGAGAAGAACAGGACGAAGAACGGAACTGTCCGTCTTGATCGGTTGCAGGCAGACCCATGTCAGACGTCGATGCAACACAGTGAGTGGTCCAACGACATGGCAGACAAAGCGACCACTGCCTCGGGCCTCCGCGAAAGATCTAAGCCAGCAGCACCATGATGTGCTCGGGGAGGTACAACGAGATTAATGATCCCAGATTTGCAGCTAAGTAGGCGAGGACAGCAAGAGCATGCGACTGGTGGACGCCACTTAGAGAGCGCTGGAAGCTCCGAAGGTCTGAGAGACTGCACGCATCTAAGCAAGAGCCTACGGAAGAACCAACAGTACACACATGCCAGCATCACAAGCTGACAGAAGAAGTGGTCAGAGATGGTTCGGATGAAGATCTCGACAACATATGTAAAAAGCATACTGCGAAGCACTCTGCTTTTACCCAACACTGATGACACTGGGACCACCCAACGAAAGCATCACTCCTCGTGCAGGCGGTACAGGATTTGCCCAATGAGGAAGACCCTCTCTGGGACCCAATAGAGGCGCTTCCGGAGATCGGCTGGGAGGTCGAGGGTTCGATGTTTCAGGAGATTGAGGAGGAGGTGTTTCGGCGAGGCTTGCTGGCGCTCAGCCCCCGACCTGTTCCTCCTGCTCCTTTTAAACCGAAGATGTGGATCGCTTTCTCTCGGTTCTTCATGCCATTCATGCCAGGTGGAGCGTCTGATTGGGGTGGCCCAAGTCCTGCTCGAAGGGGTGGGGCTACCCGGACAGCGCTCGATGCGAATTCCACGGTGTGATACCAATTAGGAGACTTTAGCTGGATTGCTGCGCAGTGGCTGCTGCGCCTAGGTCCTCCTTCAAGTGGAGAACAAGGTTGACGCGAGGACTTTGGCTTGCTCGGACGGTTGAAGCTTGAACCTCGTTCAGTGTTGGTAAGGCGCGGCTGCTTTCATCGAAGTCCGGGCACCACCTGATTGATTGCGAAACAGAGAGCCTTCGGAAAACGACTCTCCACGTAAAGTCTGTGACGAATCCCCTCGCTGCAAGAGTGGCAGAAGAGGCTCATCCTTACACCATGGTGGTTGTTACATATCTCTGAGAGTTCCAGAACTGCACAAGCGGGCAAGCGGGCGAAGTATCCGGTCCTGCAGCTCCAGAAGTCTCTAAGCTAAATGGAATCTTCCGACGTGACTGGTTGTTGGTCGAAAGCCTCAAACGGGCGCTTGCTCCAGGATCCTCAGCAGTGAGGGACAAGCAGCTCCAGCCTTGGAGCCTTCGACACTAGGAGTTCAAGGTAGCTGGGAAAGCCCTTCGTCATCGTCAGGCTTCTGGTAGACGGGATCCGCGGATACAAGACTTCAAAGACCAGGTGAAGCGATGTCCGAGGTGCTGAGAAAAAACCCATGCGACCTGCCCCACAAGTTGCACCAGGAATGTTGTTGCTCACATCGGGTCAAGTGAGTTTCGCGGCGGCTGAGGTTGGCACCCTGAAAGTGGAGATCATCCCAATCGCGAAGGCGGACTCGGAAGGTCTTAGTACAGCGGAGTAACCTGGTCGCTTGCTCCTCAAAGCCTGGCCCAAGCCTGAAGAGCAGAAGCTTCTTTGAAGACATGAAGCCAGGACGGTTCACTGGGCATCCCAGACGAAGAGGTGGTTGAAGATCCCGAGGTTCCATTCGGGCGGGAGTTTGCGAGGGCTGCATGGCAAAGCACGCGCCGGTTAGACCGTCAACCATGTTCCATGCAAGAATCTCTCGACTTAGACTCCAGATGTAACGTGAAGCTGTGATGCATCGAAGTGCAAGCTCAGTTTCGTGTGCTGCATCGCGTTGTCAGGAGCTGCTGGGCGCCTGCATGAAGTTCCTTGTGGCCGTTCCGGGGGCCACGGGACTTCCAGAGGCCCTGGGCCCTGTTCTGCATCTGCCGACAGCTAGGACTGCTCCGTTTATCGTAGTGGCCGTCCGTGCTTGGAAACGAGGGCACTCTTCAGAGCAGTTGTGACTTCACAGTGCAGGGTTGCCACGCGATGGCTGCAAGGCACTAGCCTGAAAAGACAACACGCAAGTTTTGAGAATCCGAGAAGTCCGTGAGAGCTGCCCAGACCCGCCACTCCCGCTTTGGAGGCACTGGCGCATGACGTGCGAGCGGAGTATACCTACTTCATCGATGAGAAGACGCTGGGAATGCGATGAGCACCTCTAAACCCCGGACCCGGACAACTAAAGCGGTGTACAAGATTTCGGGGCGCATGTGACATTCATGCTTCTTCAACGGGTGTCGCTTTTGCTCGGCACAGATTCTGGAACCTCGACGAGCTCGGGGCGGTTGTAGATGTTGAGCTCAGGTTTTGGATAGACATGTGCTGAGTCACGATGTGATGGCCGTGATTGTCAGTTGGACTGTTAACATCACTCACAGACCCACGGCAGTCAAGACCTGCCCCAAACTGGCTGAGGCCCCATCAGCTGCCAACAGTGCTCTTCCCTCGGTGAGGGAACTTCAGGTAGCCGAGCCTCGAGCTTCGACACTTGGAGGATTTTGTAGGAGCCCAAATCTGACAGGCAACGAGTCGTTTAGGGCTTTGGGTTGAGGGCTGGGGCCTGACCAGAGATGCCTCCTAAGCCGCAAGCTCGAGCCATTCAGACATCGCAGCACCATCGCGAAGTTCCCACGGAGTTGGAGTTGTGATTTCACGGCACGGCGATCGTTTTGAATTGCGCTCTGCTGGGCGTACCTGCCACAAGTTGCTGGAACGTTTTTGCCAGGCAGCAGAGCATTGCACAAGCCGAGGTTCGGGCACAACTGCAACCCGGAGTTCAATTACAGCCACACGTTCACCCAGGACTTGCAGGGTTGTGTGTGGTGGGATGGGGCCTGGGGAGGTGGGGGCTGTGCAAAGTTTGCTTTGTGCTCCGGCTTGACCCCTTGTGGAAGCACGATCCTCTCCGTTGGACAGGATCCGGTTACCTCGCGGTTCCTGGAGTACCTGCAGTCGAAGCTTGTTTTCCGAGTGCCGGCCACCCGGTTACGGTGGTGACGATCGGGTCGCAGCCCGTGGTCTCGAAACCCGATTCGGGTCGCAAACCGCAGCTTCAGAGTCTTTTTGGTCCTGCACTGGTCGGAGGTTCGGCCGGGACTCGGCTGCAGCGTCTGCTGCGGAGGAGCTGCCTTCTGCCGCCAGGTCTCGTTGGAAGCTGCTGCTCTTGCTTCTGCTGCTTCCGAGCTTGAGCAACCTGCGAGATCTTGGCTGCAGGCCGGGACTGTAGTGTAGCCGCGCCATTGTCCTGATGGAGGATCGGCTGCGACGCGCTGCCGAGGGCAGCGAAATGGTGCGAGAAGCTGGCGAGGCGACACAGAGGGAGAAGTCAAGGCAGCTCCGACACCTCTTCGGTGGAGGCCCCCAGGTAGAGATGCTGTCTAGAGCTGCAGACTCCCAGGAGTATGATTCTGGAGAGGTAGCCTCAGGAGCTCAGCAGTTGGAGGAGGAAGATCTGGCAGCAGCAGCTTTGGAGTCTGAGCATCCGCAGGGAGCTCTCGATATCCTGACAACGCAGATGATCGATGAGCATGTGAGCTCGCCCTCCGTGAGTGCTAGAGTCCAGTTGTGGTCTGAGAGTGAAGCCTCTCAGAAGACTGTGGCAGCTGAGTCTGCAGAACTTCGAGCGGCTGCAAGGAAAGTGAGGAAAGTGAAGCAAGAAGCAGAGGCTGCTTCTGAGGAAGAGAAGGACCCGCCGCCAATGCAGATGGTGCAGGCTCCTTCACTGCGTCTGGGACCGGTCGCTAAGAGAGAGGCTCTGGAACAGGAGCTGGGCCCGGTGGCTGCGGCAGCCTGCAACTTCGCTGCCGGGTTCGTGACACAGCAGCTGACAGCAGCTCACGAACGGGAGCTCAGTCGGCAAGCCCAGTGGCACCAGCAGGAACTCGAGCTCGCTGTCCGCCTGGCGAAGTCCGAAGCGGAAAACGAGGTCCTGAGGAAGCAGAACGAGACTCTTCTCTCGAGAGTCGGCGCCGCCCCGTCCGTGCCACTTCCGCAAGTCGCGGCACTGCTCCCCAGAGACGAGGTCCTGGAGGTGAAAGAGGAAGAGGCGGCTCAGGAAGAGCCACCGCAGGAATTCGTCTACAGAACCTGCGAAATGGCGGCAGAGCCGCCATACTCTGTTCTGAGGCTCTTCCTCGAGTTCGCCTACGGGCAAGTGGCAGCCTCGGATATGGCTCGGCAGTCACTGCCGGCGGCGATCGAACAGCAACTGCGGCAGTTCGATGACATCCCAGGGGGCCGACTCCTCATGCCTGGCCAGTTGAAATCCTCACTGGATTTGGACCTGCTTCCCGTACACCCGGAGTTCCTGCGACTCCGTGACGTGAGGGACTTCGACGTCCAGGCCAGGAAGTGCAAAACACGTGGTTGCTGGGGTTCACCAGACTGTGACAGATTGTCGCCAGACTTCGCCAGATTTCGGCAGACGAGTGGGGAGGGTTTCGCCAGATTTCGCCAGATTTCGACAGATGAGTGGGGGGAGGTTCGCCACAGACTCCGCCAGATTCGTGACAGATTTCGCTAGACTCGTGACAGATTCTCACCAGACTCCCCAGATTTCACCAGACTCGTGATTTCGCCAGACGAGAGAGGGGATGGGATCGCCAGATTTCGACAGATTTCCGAGAGATTTCGCCAGATGGAGGGGAGGGTCTCGCCAGATTTTCGACAGATTCCGAGAGGTTTCGCCAGATTTCGCCAGACGAGGGTGGGGAGGGTTTCGCTAGATTTCGCCAGATTTCGGCAGATTTCGGCAGATGAGGGGGGGGGGGGGGGGAGGTTCGCCAGACGAGAGAGGAGAGGGGAGGGGATCGCTAGATTTCGCCAGATTTCGCCAGACGAGAGAGATGGGAAGGGTATCGCCAGATTTCGACAGATTCCCGAGAGATTTCGCTAGACTCCGAAATCGGCTGCTGACTCTGCTGGCTAGTTGCTTGCTGTGACGCGTCGTCAGCGCCCACAGTGAGACTCAGCAGACGAGAGTGGGGAGGGTTTCGCCAGATTTCGCCAGACTCGTGGCAGATTGTCGCCAGACTCGTGACTTCGACAGATGGAGGGGAGGGTTTCGCTAGATTTCGCCAGATGTGGCCAGACGAGAGAGATGGGAGGGGATCGCCAGATTTTCGCCAGATTCCTGAGAGATTTCGCCAGATTTCGGCAGACGAGACAAGAGAGAGGAAGGGTTTCGCCAGATTTTCGCCAGACTTCCGAGAGATTTCTGCTGACTCTGCTAGCTTCTTTGACGCGTCGTCCGCGCCCATCAGGTGCCCGGCCACGACCTCGACACGGCGCTGCACCTGCTCCGGGAAAGCTACTGCATGCCTTTTTCTTTGCTGGAGTTCTCGGTCCCCTCACGTCTCACCCCTCACTCCTCACTCTCACCCTCACCCTCACTCTCACCCTCACTCTCACTCTCCTCCTTACTCTCCCTCCTCACTCCTGATTCGCTCTGCTTGGCCAAGGTGATACACTTTTGCAGCGCACTGCCATGTCGACGACTTCGCGCCAGAAGACAAAATCAAGGGGCCCCGATTCGTATGTATTCACGCTTTCGCATGCTTTCAAGATGACACAGACGCGAGTTGCAACTTTGACAGAGTCATGTGGGAGTGCAGTGGCTTGGCAAACACTCTTTCCTGCTGAATACTTGCCGGCGATGTTTGTGTTGGCTGTGTTGTCAGGCCACCTCTGAAGCTGCTGGCTCGCTGGGCTCCCAGCAACGCCGAAGACTGGACGTGACTCTGCAAGGGACCTCCTCCCGGTCCCCCTTCATGGAGCCTTGCAAACGACAGTTGCAGAGGACGAACAGCGACAACTTTCCTGCACTGGGTCACATATACGTAGGTTTGAAACTCAGTCATGCCTATTCTGCCCCTCACGCACCGAGATTATCCAAATGCCCGTGCTTTTGACACGTAATACGACTGATGGCATGGAGAATCAAGGCCCCAGCTTCTTTCGATGCCCGACTCGGGATTGATAGTGTCGATTTCGAGCCGCGGAGGAGATGAATGATTCTTGTTAAAGATTGCAGATTGCACACTCATCAGTACCGGTGCGAGTAATGGCTGTTACTGCCATCTGTGGCCTGCAACAAGCTACCACCCCGTTTTGAGCTTAAAGGGCACCATGAAGGGCTGGACCGTCATCTCGAGCAGGTAGACTCTGTTTGGGAGCGGCTGAGGCGCCAAAGAGAAGCCGCCAGAGCCTCCTGCCCCGGCCGGGATGCTCAATGTCTTTGCAAGGGAGCACGAGGAAGTTGATGCTGCTGGAGTCTAGATGTCAAAAGTTGCTGGAAAAGTTGCATTCCGGCAAGGTCGTCTCAGCCTATTCAATACTCGCGAGATTGGAAATGCTTCGACAGGTGAGCCCCGCCACAGACGCGGCGCCACAGCCGCAGGCACGGTGTTTGTAGCTTGACGGAGCGGAAGCCTCACGAATTTGGGAAGCGGCGGAAGCCTCGGGAACCCAAGCTGTGCGTTCTTCGCGGGAAGAGAGCGCCAGGAAGCCCTTGCTCCGGCTGCGTCGGCGTGCCCAGACTGGGGCAGAGTAGTTCCGTTAGATAGGCTCTCGCCTGTGATTTGTTGGATTTCTCATGCTCACTCGCAAATCTCTTGATTCAGCTCATAGCCAATTTTGGGGACAAAACATGAATGTGAGGCTACAGTCATCTTGGCGACCCAGCCTGTACAGCTACCATGGCCGTTACGTCTTCGGCTGCATCTGTCGCCGCCTCCCAAGTCTCGGTCCCTGTTCCGCCGCTTTCTCAAGGCAACCAGCTGCTCCGGCCGCCCCCGCGCTTCCGGGCGAAGTCTCTGCCGGCGACGGTGGGACAAGGGGGAGGGCTTGGCAGCTTGGCTCAGTGAATCGCTTAGCAACAGTGTCCCGGAGGTCTGGGGGTTCGTGGTGCGGCCACAGAGGATGTGGAGCAGTCTCCCAAAGCTCCGGACATCCAGCCATGCACTCAGGATTCTGTCATTGCGAAGGCTTGCCTCGGTTCTTTTGCGGCTATGGAGTTCGGTTGACAGTGGAGACTAGAGTCTGAAGGTTTGCTCTCGTTTGTTTCTCACCGGCGCAAGTTGAAAAAGGGCCGAGAGGTCTGGACTTTGTTGCGTTTGGCTTTGCTGAGGCAAACACCCTCGCAGGCGAACGTCCGCCTCGCGGCCGAGGAGGAGAGCTGCCAGCGCCCTTTTTTCCTGATGCTTCGCACGAAGACCCCTAAGACTGCATATTGTACATGCTGTTAGTGAGTCCCAAACAAAGCCTGCCGCTCAATTTGACAGGCGGTGTCGCCTCCGCCACCGGAGCCGGCCAACGTGCCAAGCGGAAGCCCCGGAAAATTCTCAGACACCAGCACCTGCTGGGACAGGACGCTGAAGCCTGCGGCTCCAGAACCTGGCAGTTTGGGGGAGACAGCAGCATGAAGGGGCTTCAGGGCGAGCGCTGACTTCGATTGAGCGCCGGAAGTCCTAGTCCTAGTGGTATGATAACGTAGCGCTTCTCTATCCGTCGGGGCATTTGGTATGCGCCTATACTTGATGGAGAAGCTACGTATAAAGCATCGTTCCCAGATCTCAGCCCCTCGGATTCTTCAACAGTTTAGCTTCAAAGCCCACAAAATTTCTATGGCATTCTGGCAAGGCGACAGAAAGAAGTCCAAGTTCTGCACCATCCTCTAGGCGCGCTTGAGCCAGCAATGAACACCTCCACCTGAATAGTCAGATGCAAAGCCGAGCGGTGCAGACACAACGCTGGTGGTGCTGCTGGTGTGAAGCATTACGGCGGCCTCTGCTGCTGCTGCCGCCATGAAAAGCCACGACTGCCGACAACGAAGCCGAAGACAACAGATTGCCTTGTTGCAGTCGTAGTGGTCGCGGCAGCAGTACTCATAGCCGAACATCACGTTCATCTCCGTTGTAGCTGGCACAGTGTTGAGAAAGGCTCGTTCTCTCACGCCGCTGATCTGATTTAGCAAGTCTGAATTCTGGAGTTTTCGAGAGATACTGAGAAGGGAGACCTCTTCTGTTTGACTCCAATCTGGCAAGAACGGAACACTGGCTGTCTCAGGTGTCCTGTCAGGTCTTGCGGCCCGAGAGTCTTCCAATGTTCCCAGGGAAGCAACCTGCTTGCTCGGATGTCAACATGTAGGCTTCCAACACCTCCACAGTTCAGATTTCCTTTCGTTTTCCTTGCACGCATGTAGGCTGCGAAAGTCACCAAATCTTGGAACCTCGCACTGACTTGACGCTGAGAGGCTGCCACGCGGGATGTCCCCGAGGCTACAAGTGCCAGGGTCCTCTCCCAAGGCCCGACGTGACATGTTGTACACTGTACTGGTAGCATGTTGGATTGGGAGGAGTCCGAAAAGTTGCGCTCCATCCAGCAGGCTTGCGTGGCTTTCGCTGCAAGTGACTCGTCACCTGCCTGGCCTTGCTGGGTAGACTGCACGGCATAGTCAGGTCAGGTTGCTTACAATCTGCTGGAAGCAGCATCTCGCAAGCCTCTTGCCCACGAATGACGAACCTGCCCACCACCCCATCGTCTGCAGTGCCAGGAACAGAGCTTTAAGTCGTGCCTTGCATCATTTACCGGTGCCCCTACGTCTCACCACCAGCCGGGCTTGAAAGAGAGCTGTCCGGCAAAGGGGTCGCGATTAAGCACGAATTAGAAGCAGTTGTTCGGGAGGGGTCTCCGGTCACCATCAGACTCCAATCTTTGCAGCACAGGCAGCACCAAGCATCGGTCCATTGTTCCATACATCTCCCGCTGCACCAAATGGATTTCAGTTGCCGTCGCCTAACCCAGACTTGCAATCGCCCCTGAGCACACAAAAAGCTCGGCTCTCTAAAGAAGGAAGGCTTCAGCGTCTCAGGCCCTGACTGCGGTCGCTAGTAGGCCGGCTCGCCCCAAACGGGGCTCGCAGCAAGCCGGCAAGGAACAAGAGCTTCGCCAGCCATGCACAGAGAAAGAAAGATGGATGCTGTTGCTTCCTCGCGGTTGAGCCCCGCATCATCGTCGTCATCAGCCAGCATATGATCCCTCTTCAACATCATCCTCCTCAAGTCTGCTGACTGTCATCAATCGCCTGCCTGTTTTCTGGAGGGCTGCTGCACATGTTTCCTCTTTGACTTTGAGCATAAATACCTTTCCGTTATCTTCATTGAACCTTGCACAACTTATCGTCGGGCCCGGTTACTGTTTGGATATTCGGCTTCTCTGTTGTCTTCGCATACAGGTACAGGCAGAAAGGCAGACGCACTGACATGCAAGGAGATGCAGAACAGGCCGGCACACCGCCAAACACGTCGTGCAGAACTTACATTCCGTCCACACCATACACCACACTTTTCAGCTTTCTGTGCATACTTACATACAGCTGCCAGTCCACCCCCCACTCCATGCCTTGCGCATCGAGATAGTTGGTAGTCTTGGCTCTCGTGACCGCCGCTTCTAGCTGCAGCTCGGGAAGGAAAAGTACCGACAGTGGCGCGGAAAGCAAGCCCAAACTCCATGACTGTGCCTTCTCCTTGCATTCCTTCACAACAAGACACAAGATCCTTGCATTTCGTTCGAAATTAAAGCCAGCAATTTCTTTCTCGTGAAGCAGTGCACGTAACCCAACCACGCAAAAGCAGCAGCCAATCCACTTGGCATCAGACTGCAGCCCCATACGTGCAATTCTTACTGTTTGTTTTCAATTCCCCGGCTGCTGCGCAGCTGCGTGCCACATGGTGGAAACAGCACCTGGCTCAGACGTTCACTGTGTTTGGCTGCTTGCTGGCTGCTGCTGGTTCTTTGTGGGACGTGGTCCAAGTTTGAATTATCTGCAGCAGCCAGATGCTGATGTGGGAGGTAAAGCTAATGTAAAGATAGTACTTTTAGGGTGGGCCTCTATTTGAGCCCATTTCTCGGCGATGACGTGCGGGGTCTGCAGCCCTGCTAGAAGCAATGCAACAACCTCAAACGACGAAATACCATCAAACATCAAAGATAGCTGAGTCTGAGTGCTGGCGATGAAGAAGCTTTAACAGTGTCGTACCTTCAGAGCTCCGTTTTCATTTTAGGCATCTCCTGGGCCTTCTTTGCCGGCATCGCCGTTGACGCTCCCCAAGGATTATGCAGGAGGCCGACGGGCGAAGCACTTGCCACGAGAGACTGCAATGAGAGTTCTTTGGCGGGGGCATCCTTTACCACGTCCTAAGCCCTCGCTGGCAGACGGTGTCTCAAACCACGACAGTGCGAGCAATGCCAAAATCTGCCAGAAGTCTGCGACGGAATTCCAGCATGCCTTAGACCACCGGATTCGTCGCGAGCTCGGCCGAGTCCGAGTCTTTGAGAGGCCGGCAACTCTGGAGCAACGGCCGGTTTCGCGAGACTTACGCAGAGATCGGGCCTCAGCAAGCCGTTTGGGTTGGAGCCTACCATCCGCCCCCCCCTCCCCCCTTCCCGGCAAACCGTGCAGCACTGAGCGGACGACTGAGGGCAGTGTCGCGCTGTGGAATTGCAGAAGCCAGCCCCAGCAGAAGTGATCCAAACTGCTTAGGCAGAGATGCGGTTGGAGAATGCTAGTCTTCTCGTTTCTTCTAGAAAGAAAGTTTCCGTATACGGCTGCCGAGGAAAGCTGTGCAAAACAACAGCAGCAACACCTGCAAACAAGTCTCCCCTCAAAGTTGTCAAACGAGGCTTGGGCACTGCCTGGGAAGTGGCACATTCCTCAGAGGGTTTGTCCCTGGCGAGCGACAGCAGCATATGCGATGCAGGACAGTTTGAGATTCACAATCAATGTCTCGTTCTTCTTTGAGCGCTTCCGTTTCTATTCTGCTGTCACACTTCGGCACTGCGTTTACCTTAAATCTTGGGACGCTTGCAACGAAAGCGGCCCAGTTTCATAGCTTGAATTGGTCAGTGGACTGGCAGGCAGGGATACGCAGACCTCAAGACTTTCAGGGTTTAGCAGTTTAAAGCAGACCCTCCTTCCAAACACTTGAAAAGTCCTGGATTGAATCGTGTGACAGGCGGCATGGGCAGTGTTTGGGCTGCCCGCGTCAGTGACGAGGCAGTGGGCTCCAGGCACAGAAGGAGGGTTCCCCAGGATTCCTGCCGTTCCTGCCCTTGAAATGGTCGCGAGCTTGTTTCGCCTCGTGTGATTCGGGAGCAAATCGGCTGCTGGGGGGCTGTCAGCGCTTTTGCTTCCAAAACCATACAGTATCCCGTATCCTTGAACCGTTGTTGGGTCGTCGCATTCAACCAGCAGGCAGCGAGGTCGCTGGGTGGCCGTGAAAGCGATCCCGATCCTGCCCGGCCCCGATTGTGGAGTCTTCTCTCTCGTTGAGAGATCCCAAAGTCCATTGAATCTCCCAGGCTGCCCGAGTCGCGCGAAGCGGCCGCACTCCACCAAGGCGCCAGACTTCGCGTCACAGAAACTCAGGAAAACTCGGCACGGGTCTGTCGGCATCAGCAGCTGAAGTCGCTGCTTTGTCTTTGGCCACAAGAACTCGCAGGCGCCTTTCCGTTTCTTGCGGAAGCCTTGGCTCTCCTGCCCTGCGTAGGTTTGCGGGAGTGCTTGTCCACTTTCCAGGACCTCAGCAGAGCCCTTGGATACCAACTGACGGATGATCGCTGGGGAACAGATCGGATAGCTGGGACTCCAGGTCAACACGTAACCGCATTGTCCAGGTCCAGCCGATTAAATTTTAACCGGCTGGACCTGGAGCATCGGACTTTGTTGCATGCTTGCGAGGGATGGCCTAGCAGGCTTCTGGACTGGAGTCTAGAGTGGCTTCATTTGGATCCAAGGCTCTGCGCATGTCGTGCGGTACGAAACCTATTGGCTGGAGGCTGGGAAAACATCTCGAATGCCCAGCACCTGTCCGCTGATACCGGTAGAATTTGGTGTAAGGGTTTTCCGGATGTAGGAAGTTGCACCGTTGCTACGGAGGGCTGGTGCTCGTCGTTGGTAGGCACCTGACGAAGCCAGTTGTCAGCATGATGCAAGGGTGTAAAACGCAATAGCCTTAATGCAAGCTGGTGCGCAGACTGGAGTCCTTACAGTTTACATCGGCAAATGGGTCGACTCTAGAGGAAGGCATGCCAATGAGAAAAGCCGCACCGACCCACACACATGCACGCAGAAGCTAAAAGCTGTCGCTTGGAGCTCGGCAGGAGCCAGAGCATTTGCCCGAGGACAGCGGGCGTCTTTTTGGCTTGGACGCAGGTGATGTAAGCATGACGACCAAGCTATAACAAAGAATATCCACCTCCTAGAAATTACCGGAAGCGCAAGTGATCTGCGCTGCAGGACATCCAGCAGATCGTGGGGGGCAGGGGCCCGGCCAGGATCCCAGGGCTTGGGCCTGTATCACGGGCTCTCGGGAAAAAACGATGCAAAGATATAGAGTCTAGTTTGGCAGTTTCTGTAATTCGCTGAAGGGCACCCCAGAAAGCCTGAATCGTCCGGATGCCCAGGCTCAAAAGCCCGTGAAGACAGAGGTGGAGGTGGTCCGGGCGAGGGATTGGAAAGGCAAAGCTTTCTACTTCCACGATTATCTCGTGTAGCAGCGTTTGCAGTACAACTCCTCCAAGCTCTCTCCTTTCACCGTGCACATCGGTCAGGTCACCGAAGAGGAGACCTCCTGGGTGTCTTCACTGCGATTCCGCGCCTAGAGCCCAGCCAGGAAGACAGGCCCAGGCCATGCCCAAGCCTTTTGAGGGCCCGAGGCGGATTTGTTCTGTCATGTCCCGGAGTCTCCTCGCACCCGTGCCTTCGGCTTCTACTTGTAAGGTCCGTCGTTCCAGCAGCGGTGGCTTGAGGCGCTTCGACTTGGGACTGGCTGCCGCTTCGGATTTCGAGAAGCCCGGAAGCTACTGTCGGTGGCTAGAACCAGAATCGGAACCAGAGTCGGCTAGAGGTATAGGGAGACTCAGAGCTGGCAGAGATGGCAAGGCGCACTCGAAGCCACAGCGACGTCTACCCCACCCCACCTGGACTGAACAGCAGCTGCGGGCGGGGGTCCCTGCATCCGGGGCGGGGACTTCGTGCCGGGGTGCATTGCGAGTTTTCCAGAGCTCGTGGACAGTCGCAGCAATCCCCATCCCAATCCCAATCCCTCCAAGGTTTATCTTCGAGGCCCCAGAGGTGGAGGACTTCGAGCTCGAGCCGGTGTCCAATGCAGGGCCAAAGCCAGCCTGGGAGGCCGGAATAATGCCGGCGACTGCAGCGTCAGGATGTGCGGATTTGTGGCAGCAGAAGATTCGCAAGATGCTCGGATGTGCGGACTTTTCATGCATACAATCCCTCCCTCCCTCCTCCCTCCCTCCCTCCCTCCCTCCCTCCCTCCCTCGCTCTCTCTCTCTCTCTCTCTCTCTCTCTCTCTCTCTCTCTCTCTCTCTCTCTCTCTCTCTCTCTCTCTCTCTCTCTCTCTCTCTCTCTCTCTCTCTCTCTCTGAACGCGCACCGGTGATATGCCTAAATCTCGGCGATATGGCAGACGACATGCCAAGTGTGGGGGTGTTTCCATGTCCAGTGATGGCACGTGCAGGACAGCAAGGCAACGTCCAAGAATGTGGTCGGGGGCCTGGCTCATGCCAGGCCCAAGGAAAGATCCAGCGGAGAGTCCAAACTTGCATCATGATATCGAACCGTGGGTGGCGATGAGAGGGTGTGCCGGATTTCTGAGAACCTGCCTGAGCCCTGAATTTCATGAGGTGCTGTTGATCGAAATGGAGCTCATGGGGCCCCCTCCTGGCGGTACGGTGTCGGATGAGCGGCCGGGGGCGTCAGAGCCGCTTCAATCGGAGATCGCAGGTAGCCAGGTAGCCACATAGACATCTCTGTCTTCTACCAGAGACCAGAGACCAAAGATGTTGTGTAGCACAGTATCAGAGCTTCAGCATCCTTGCCCTCAGCAGCTCGAGGCAGACGCTGACGCTTAGATCATGGCTGAAGCGGGACAATCGAACGCTGCTTGGCGACTGGACCCCTCCCCTCCCCTCCTCCTCGACATGGCCCTAGCGCCTCGGCGCCACGTCCCGGAAGCTTGCACAGCTCTGCCTGGAGTTCTGTTCATTTGCGTGAGCAGTGTAGAGTAATTCGAGAGACAGTTCGGAGAGCACATGATCCCAATCAGGCCCTAGGCCGCGGCTGGTTTGGTTGCTCAGGCTTTCGGATGCCGCAGACATCTTCGGATCATTGATGCTTTCCGCACCTTGGGCTCAAGTTGGGGGAGCCTGTCAGTCACCTCTTTGAAAGAAGCTGCAGGCACACGAACACAAGAGTGAAGCTGCCAAGCTTCAGCGTTTGCAGTCAGGATCTTGACAGGATTCGAGGTTTCTTTCTCTGCAAGCACTCACCTGCTCTTGATCCGTAGGCAGGGTGACCGGGTAAGAAGAAGAGCGAGGGAGAGAGGCAAGCATGAGGCAAACAGAGACAAAGAGTTCTGAGCGCGACCTGCAAGCAAACAAGTACACGCTTTCCGGCGCCCTTCAACCCCTAACCTGAGGTGCGCCATATCCACCGCAAGCGCATCGTTCACGCCGACCTGAAGTGCAAAGCCCGGAGGAGAGCATCTTCAGCCAATGCTCTGCGGTCGGGGGTGGCAGACGGCTGGGGGGATTCCGTTGAAACCCTCGGGCACCGCATCGCACCGCGCCATATCTGTAGCTCGAGAAGCTCTGCGCGAGTTTTTTTTGTGAAACGAGGCCCGACAACATCTTCTGCGTCGCCGAGCGTGCCAAGGCGGGGCTTCGGGGCTTCTTTCGGGGCGGGGCGCGGCGCGTCGTCGGTCTCGGTCTTCGGGCGGCTGAAGGTTCTCCTCGATTTTTTAGTCTGCGGAATGCCTCCGCGGCAGCGGTGTCTCTATCTGCAGATTTGAACCAAAGAAGCCACCAAGCTTTCGTTGAAACGAGGTCCGAGTGGTCCGCATTGGCGACTTTGGCCTTGCAGGCCCGTTTGCGCCGTAGCTTCGAAGTTCGAAGCAAGCTGAGCTTTATTTGGGGGTTAGGGTCAGGGTGACAATTTGCAAACTCCGCACCTCTGGGTCATGCTTTAGTGTTGGGCGCTCGCCGCCATCATGGACAAACCAGACTCTTCTGCCTGACGGATGTTCTCAACAGCAAAACTGACAACAAAATCAGCAGCCTGCTTCCTGCGAAATGTCGGCCGCTCCGCGACGGTCAGGCGAGAACCAGCTGTTCCGACAGTTCGATCAGTTTTCTTCTGACATGCCAGAGCCTTGGAATCTCACCAGTGCAGAAAATGCATTCTGGGCACTCTCTCAGAACGCAAACACAACAGTCACAAGAGCAGGCTTCAAGAGTTACGACTCTTCACCATAAGAGACGCAGGGCAGGTTCAGAAGCCCAGTTGCAGTTCTACAAAATTGAGCCCAGGGCCCTGCCACACTGCACCCTTGCATCTCGAGGCTGACAACCCGCAGCGGTCTCACTGGCGGTACCCCTGGCTATGCCGCGCCGGCCGGGCAAGGGAAGTGCAAAGGCTTGCAATTTGCAGTTCCCAGAAGCATGTAAAGCATGCGTGCAGCAAGGACCCACAAGGCCTCCGCTTGGTAACTGAAGTGATGACTGATGCAGATTAGTTGGGGGGTAAGCCTAAGTCCTTCAACCGCCACACATATCTTCGCAACGCCACCTGCTTTTGATCAGGAACTTGTTCAGATCATTTAGCCAGAGACTTCCGACGGTTCAGCCGTGCCTCCAGGAGATACTGCAGTCTGTTCGACAAGGAAGGCGCGCAGCCTGTTCTGACAAAGTCGACATCTACTCCTGCGCCCTGGCTTGAACAAGCCCGGCAGGATCGCACCAGGGAATTGCCTTGTTTCTGTTGATCGCCGTTCTGGGTGCTTGAGCACATGCTTTGATCAAGTGAAGTGCCGAACCAACGCAAGGAAAACCATGGCCCAGATTGTCCAACCCAACCCAAGCTGATGTTGTGAGGTGCTGTCATCCTCCTCGAGCTGCTGCTGCAACCTTTCCGGACCGCTAGCAGGGCGAAGATGTAGGCTTCGAAGCTTAGACGCCTCAAGCCAAACAGATCCACAAGCTCCTCCGAGCACAGAGGCCTTCTTCCTATCACCATTGTTTTGTTTGGTCGCGAGTCACCGTCACCCAACGCGAGGTTGCAAGTTCAAGCTTGCGATGATGCCTTCGAAGTTAGTGTTTCTTCTGCAGTCTCTCGGGAACTTACAGACCAAACCAGACCTGCACCATGTCTTTCGACATGGTTTCTTCCTGAGTGCTGTGCTCGGAGGATGTCCGCGACTGCTAAAGCTGGAGCGACAGACTCCCGGAATGTGGTACAGGACGCACATGGAGCGCATCGTTACCTTCGACAAGTTCAACCATGATCAGGCAAACCTTGGGCAGTGATTGATTGGGTGTGTTTGTGTTGCGGAAGTATTGATCATGTTGATGAGTGCAGACCCCTCCGCCCCGGCGATACCCCAAGCCTTGCAAATCAACCCCAAGCAGCATTCAAGGTTCAATGCTTGAAGCTCACACGCGGACTCGTTGCGGAGGTAGTGCCGGGATACATCACCAGCCGACTCCCAAAGACGTCGACCGCCTCAGTCAGAGTTATTTTCGATGCCATGCTGCTTGAAGGCCAAGCAGCGGTTCGTATTGGCAAGTTGCAATATGTGCAAGAAGCCGACGGAAGGCGATGACTTGGAACCCACTTGGCCCTGCAACGCATACTGGTACTTGGTGGATAATGCCGACAGTGGCCGTGGCAGGGTCACTAGAGTTTCAGAGCAGTCTTTAAACAGACCCTACTGATTAGTTGCCACGGCATCTTCAAGCCTGCTAGAGCCTTTGGAGTTGCAGAACTTTCGAGCGCAGTTTAGACGCTGCATTTCCAGATGCTTGGGTGGCAGGCATGGACAAATCGATGACTGAAATTCTGATGTGTTAGTGTTTTGTTTGGCTTCTTTGGTAGTTGACTAGGAGCGCACTTGCTGAGGCGAGCCTTGCTCGGGGAGATGGCAGAGAACGACCCGGCAGACAGGCTTCTAAGACGCAAGAGCGCAATCAGATCAGAACCTACCTATCCATATCTGCGTGATTCGAGTGCAAGAGCATCTCGCGTTCGGCATCCGGAGGTTGTCTGCAGAGGAGGTGTGCAAACGCTTCGACAAAGAGGCCCCTGCGAGCTGTCATGACAGATCTCATAGAAGAATCCAGGGCCTTTCAAAGCCTAAGCCTCAGACAGAACCTGAAGTTGGTTAAGCCTTTCTTCGAAGGACTCTTAAGACAGTTTTAGAGCCCAACACGGGCGATTGTTGATGTCTGTCAGGAGGCTTGAGCACCAAAGGGAACATGTCGAAAGCTTGTCGCGGAGATGTGTGGGCCTTCCACCTGATCAGAACATTGGCCATGCCCCGCAATTTTGCAATGGCACCCCACGAAGCCGCACCTGATCAGACGAAAGGTGCGCAAGGAGCTTTGCCGCTGTGCTGCGCAGCTTTGCGGCGAGCTTTGCGAGGCGCCAAAGCAGGCGGCCCAGGAGGCACAGTCCCAGAAGATAAACCAGAGCCAGAGCCACGCTGTTCGGGCTTTGCAGGCTGTCGGCCCTCAAACAAGCAACAGTTGTAGGATGCCTCCGTGCGTGGATTCGGACTCATGCGGTGGTTACAGTTGATCGGTCACGCAGCGGTGCACTCGTCGCCACTGAGGCCCTCCGGTGGCAACGGACGGGGCATGCTTTTAGCTAGCTTGCTTGCTGGCAGGCCTCGTTACGTCAGTTGCCTCTCGCTGCGCTTCTGACTAGGACTGGACGCTGGCAGAGCAGCCGATTCTGCGAGGCTTCCGCACTTCGGTCCATCCTCAACTTAACAAGAACCATCCGAAGCAGAAACATCAAAGGAGCGTCTTGAAAAGCCGTCGGCAAAGCTGTAGGCAGAGCTGGACACACCTTCGTGGAGTTTCGTCGCACTCCTCTCACACATGACAGGTCTGCCGAGGGCAACGGCCGACGACCCGGCGGACGCCGCGGTCGCCGAAAGAACTGAAAGCACGAGCTCGCACGACCCGGGTCCCCTTTAATGCCTCCCCGACTCCCGACCCCTTGACAAAGCCGGCGACACTGACATAGCCGTTGAAGATCTCAGCCTTTGCAAGACACACCCCGGAGATAGCTCGAAAAGACATGCGCCATGCCAGCACGAAGCTGAAAGGAGCTGCCAGCAATGCAGTCTCGGATGGGTTTGCGGGGAGCCATTCCCAAAGAGTCCCTACGTCTGACCTGATTTCTCCCGGTCCTTGCAACAGAAGCCGCCGAAGCTCGCGAGCTCGCTAACGTGCGCGCTTGGCGCTTGGCGCGAACCCATCCCCGTCCCTCCCAGCACGTGGCTCGGGCACTGAGAGACACAAGTTGGGACCAGCTTAGGCCCCAACCCAAACTCATAGCGAGAAGTCTTGACTGGGTAACGGTGAGAGTTTGCACTTCCCCAAAATCCCAAAACTCCAATGGTCCACAAGGCAATTCAGAGCTCAACCGGTCGGTCTAGCGGCCAAGGCTTTCAAAAGATCCCCAAAAGGAGGTTCACCGTGACTCCTAGCAACTCTCTCATGTTCCTGGAGCTTCGCACCGTGCTGAGGTCGAGTTTTAACTAGTGTCAGCGCGGGGCTTTCCGAGTGCCTCGACCCTCCATAACGTTCTCGGCTAGCTCTCGGACTCTGAAGAGAGCCTTTCGAGGTTCCAAGTAAACTTCTGCGGGATTGCATTGCAGTTAGATTGCATGTCTCATGCCGGCATCTGACCCGGCATGCATAGATGAGCAAGCAGCGCAGCAGACCCTCACATCACCACAGACCTCTCAGTTCGGAGTGGCTATGATTACAAGGGTGTGTCTCGGGAAGCGGCCTCTCGCGTGCAGGTCAATTAGATATCTGCCAGCACCCAAAGGGTTTGCGATTCGGCGCAAAAGCTCGCCTACCCGGCATGCTATATCCCGGACAGACGTTTGGGCAGCGCAGAAAAAATGGATCACAGCATAGTCATAGTTCTGACCCGCCGACACCTGGAAAACCTGAGAGATCTGCTATGTGAAAGCCGGTCTCTTCACCCGAAGCCTGAGCAAATACATCGCATCACCCGAGGCCTGCCAAGTTCAGATTCGCGGTAGGCTAGTTTGCCTGATCGACCCTGGGCATATATGACAAGCTTTGTTCAGAGTGCGATGGCAGGACGTGAAAGTTTTTGTCGCTTTCTCCTTGCCGTTCTTGTCGGCTCTGTGGCCCGGCGGCCTGTCTGGAGGGCTGCTCGCCATGCGCCGGCGCGCATCGGGGGGAGGGAAGCGCGAGAGTCATGCTCCAGCATCTCTTGAAGCTGGAACAAGCTGGACGTAGGTGTTCCCACTACCTTCATCGTCGATCCTGTAAGCTTTAGATCCCGTGGACTGCATGCAACCGCACCGACGCTGCACCTCCTCACTGGACCTAAGCACAGGTGTCTGCTAAATGCACTTGTGGCCGCCTGGCCAGAGCCTCAAGGAGTTTGCATCGAGCGCCAGCTTGCGTAAGGGACATCGTGCCCGCCGATTTTCCAGCCTTTAAAACAGAGAGAGAAAAACGATGCAAAGCCCAGGCTGCAGCTCGTTGCATCGGCGCCGCTAAAGCGCCTTTGATGAGAACAGAGCATACGGGTTGGTTGGGACTCAGGGCGATCTCCCGAACAGCATGGCATGTAGCATGCCAGGTTCAACCTCTGTCCAAGCAGCCGGTTTGCTTTACCCAGTGCCTCCCCCCAACAGAGACCCCTTAAGTGGACCGTCTCCTTGCTGTTTTGTGAGGTTGACGAACTGCCAATGGATTGAGACGGGCGAGGAGTGAAGTGTTGGCGGCCTTCACACTGCGCAGAAGCCATGAGCTGTGCGGACAGAGCCCGATAGGCAATCCTGCGCAGAGAGCACGTACGGACTTATTTGCGTCTCACATTGTTACTGCCTCCAATAGATCGTGGCCTCGAGCTCGTGAGTTGCATTGCTGCATCACCTGCGGTCTGAAGAACGCCGATTCTGAACCCGTTATCAGAGTCGGGCTCGGCAGGACCTGAGCATCGACAATGACACGAACCCTGCTGCCTTCGCATGTGACGGCGGCTCGGCCCGCGTCAAAATTCAGCCTCAGACACCAGTGGACCAGACATGACTTGTATGGAGCTTCAGGAAGCTGTAGGTGTGCCACTCCTGCAGTTGGTCCCGACTTGCATGCAGCAGATTTAAACACCCTGTGCATGAGGGATTTCGTGGGGGGCGCGCGTTTCCAAAGCCACGCGGCGCATGCCAGATCGCTTAAAAGTCAGCGCGAATGCCTTGCGGTTGGGCGGAGACCGTGGCGCTGAGGCAACAAGTCGAGTGTCGCTATTTACCGTTCCGCGAAGCAACACGGTGCCTTGGCAGGAATTGTTGATGGTATTTCTTCCGGCCGATTTATGAAGATCCGCATGCAAAGCAGAAGGCCGCAGGAAAGGCCTAAAGCCTACAGCCTTCGTCGTGTTTCGGAGGATGCCTGCCCAGCTGCTTGATCCAAGTCAGACCACAGAAAGGCCTCTGCACCCACGACAGCCCAAGATGTCTCAGGTACGCTGTCGTTGCCTCAGCTTGCAAAGGTTTGGCGCTGACAAGCTTTGAGTGCATGGTAAGGCGATGGAAGCGGGATCCCTTACGGAGACACTTGAAAAGCCTGACGCCAGTCCCGCGCTTCTCAGGTCTTTGCAATGTGAGTTCGCGGAGGGCACGGCTCGAGTGGAACGCATTGCGTGGAGCACAGGCCAGCTGAAGGTCTTGAATCCACATCGTCCGACGAAGTAGCCGAAGAGAACTTTAGAAGAGTCAGCGCCCGATGCCTCATGCATCAGTCACATGAACAGAGACTTCGCGACAGAGCAGCATAAACCAGTGCAGAAGTCGACCATGCACCCATAAAAGGCTTAGCGGCGGACTGCACGAACGAGAGTGGCACCCTTCCTGAGCCTCGGTCAACAGAAGGGCTTCCATCAGGATTGAGTCCGTGGAGGCCGGCTCCACAAGCTGAGGTGATCATTTTTGTGGCAGGAATGGATCTGCTATACTGTAACTTGACACACGTTGAAAATCTTACTGGGAACATTTACTCGCCACTTGTACGTAGTGCGGCCCAATGCATGAAGCCTCACCGAGCTCACTTCCAGCCTCCAAGGAAACGAAAGTGGACGGCGTTTTCCTGACGCGAAAAGAGGGAGAGAAGGATCGTGCTGTCCACTGGTGTTGCCTTGCAGGTAGACAGGCCTCAAATGTCCGCAACGCTTATATTAACTCTTGCGGAAGCCAAACGCAGAGCCTGCCAGGAATGGTCAGCTGACGAAGCAAAGTCACCTTCAAAAGCGACTCGGCTACTTTGCACACGGAAGCATGTTGGGCTCGGCCTAGCCGCCTAGCGCAAGCCCCGGAAGCCAGAGCAGACATCGAGCCTTCATGCGAGAGAAAAACCCTAAAAGTCTGAGTTGGCAGAAGTGGCGGAGCGAGACTCGCGACCAGGAGGTCCGTTTTGTGGTCATGCTCACATTAGGTTGAATCGAAGAAGCTCTTTGCATACGTGGTCCTCAAGACTCCGCAGCAAAAGGTGGGCATGCACGGTCGGTCTGTCCTACATGCGCAGCCCAGTTTGTTTCTGAAGGGAGAGCATGAGAAGAGGAGATGAGTCAGAAGAGCAGAGCGAGGCCTGTGGTGAAAACCACGTCGCACGCGTCGACGAGCTCAGCGTCTTCGGCGAGACTGTCCACGCTTGCAATGGCCAGCTGCCAGGGCCCCTGGTTTGGACTGCTCTTACACTCTCGCTCTGGACCACTCTCACCGTACGACCGCATGATGTGTTTTCTTTGCCGCAGAGCTTCTGGCTCCACAAGAGCGACAGCCCGCTTTCGTTCTTCCTCCCTCCCCGCCGGCCACAGCGGGGAGGTTCGCGGGAGATGGGCTTGGCCGCTGAAGCAGCTGATGCCTGGCTGCCGTTGGCCCCCAAACGCGCCGATGGTTGGTTCCTGTCACTCCTGGGAGATTGGCTTCGCGTGCTACAGTAGGGGTGCTTCTTGCATGCCCATCTCCTTGGTGGAAGGGTCAGCTTGCTTTCTGAGTGCGTTTTTCTGCTTAGGGAATTCGGCTGGGGCTATTCATTCCATCGAAGGAAGTGCTTCCATGTCAGTTGCATTTCATGGGGTGGAGGCCCAGGCCAGGTCCTATTGCCCGAACTTGACATCTCAGGGCTTCTGTGCAGAGTCCGTGCCAGTGGGACAGCCGGAAGGGCCTGATGTACAGGCCTGGGCCTGGGGTTCAAAGCTTTCTTTACGGGTGCCCGGGGGAAGCTCCGGAGCCTGGGCTCCCTTTGAAGGCTGTGGCATCTGTGGGCTCCTGGAGTGGTTGCGTGGTTCTTGGCGATCTGCTCGGCCAAGGACGCAGTGGCACAAAAGACAGAAGCCTACAGCATCGTTCCCAAAACCTTTCAGGAGAATGTTGAGATGGACTCCTAGGCTCATGATTGCAATCACCTCTACTTAGTTCGACTCTCTGCAATTGCTTGGGCTTCGGACAAGCAGAGATCGAATCGCTTTGGCACACGCCTGGTGAAGCAGCGGTGCGATGAACGCAGGCACCCTTTCCTGGACTTCGAGGGAAATCTTCAGGGCCTTCCTCGAAGGGTTTTCGTGCTTTTTGACACGTCCCAGGTCTTCTGTCCAGGGGGCGTGCTTGCACAGGAGCCTCCTCAGTGGTGCATGCTGTGGATGTGTTCGACTGTGGCCCCAACCGGCAGGCGAGGCATGAACGATAACACTGCGTGTTGGTTCATGTCAAGAATCGCTGGACAATGTTCAGAACTGCGTGGCCGAGGTTATTGCAGGAGGAAAACTGCCTTGGTCCTGAAGCGTCTCGTTACCGGGCTCTGCTCTCAGGAAGATGAGCTCTGCCGAAGCCCCTTGGTGGCGAAGATCTTCCGAATCGACCAGGCGGAAAGCTGCTGAGACTCTCTGAGTGGCGCTCAAGCCTTCGTGAAGCTTCCAGGGCTTTCCTTTCGGAAAAGCCTAGAGAGAGAGATATAGAGAGAGAGATACAGAGAGAGAGAGAGAGAGAGAGAGAGTGTTGACGCCGAGGAGCCGCAGTGAGTCAAGTGAGAGCGCGAAAAAGTTTTCCGAGCCTGAGTGCGAGGGGGAGAGAGGGGTGAAGTGCCTTGTGTAGCTCCTCTTTCCTTCCTTGCCCACTTTACGATTTCTTCATAGTCAACCCTTGCCGGGGGGATGCATGTGTTCTGTACTGTATTTGATCTTAGCGCAGTCCTTACCGCAACTCGGGGGATTGAGCCTTGCTGGGGGAAAGCAAATGGGAACGCTTTTCTTTACCATGCCTTCCAGTAGCCTTTGAAAACAACGCTGTCACGATTTGGCAGCTCGCTCCGCCTCTTTGCCAATTCATTGCAAACCCGTCTTTTGACGATGTCCGATCCGCCTTCTACAATAATTCGTCACCCCGACTGCTTCTGGCAGGAGGGGAATTCGGCCGCCTTTTTTCATGCCCTCCCGAACTTGATTAGGCTAAGGACTCTAAGCCGAAGGGGCGCGGGGACGAGGCGCGGGTTGTTTCTGTGTTTAGTGTTCGGGGGGGCTTTCTGCTTGTATGCCCAGAGCACACTGGGTTGTACATTGCCATAGTCTGGACTACCCCAAAGACCAGCCACTCCATAATACAGGGGGTGGGCTGGGCGGGCCTAGGCCTGGGGGGCGCGCGCGACCCCTTACGCCCTGCAGAAAGAAAGAAAAGAGAGTGTTGACAAAGCGGTAGCACCTGCTACAGACAACGTGTGGCCACAGTGGGGATCGCCAGCACGGCGGCACCCAGCGACATGAGAAAGCAGAAGGAAGAGGCCGACGAGCATGACCTTAACAACCCCAAGGGGGGGGATCCTGCGAGGTAGCAGGAAAGAGGCGGCCCTACACAGAGTACGTGCGTTTCGAAAGCGAGCAGGGGACAGCGCTGCTCTACGAACCGGATCCACTAGACAGATGGGTCGGGAGAAGCATCCAGAAAAACTGGCGAAAGGGGAGCTACACGGACCAGAGGACGGGGGAGATCCTCAGCGAGGCCGATGCTCAAGAGTGGCAGCAATATGTCCACAGACACAATGCACGGAGAGAGACAGGAAGGCAAGCAGACAAGCTCGTGGACATTGTCAAGAAGGGGAACCCGAAAGTGCTGAAAGAGCTCCTCCTCTACATAGCCAAGCACCCGTGGAAGGTGGGGGCACTCCTCAGCCAGGCCAAGCAAGAGTTCAAGGGCAAGCCCGCAACAACCGTGCGGGAAAGAGGGGACAAGAAAGCCAAGAAGAAGGAAAAGAAGAAGAGCAAGGACACAGCCAAAAGCAAGAAGACCAAGAAGGACAAGCAGGCGCAGAAAAAGAAGCGTGAGACAAAGGAGGGGCGTTCAACGACAAAAGGAACCGCCCATGACAGACCAGCCGGGGAAGGCGACGACAGCCACAGAGACGACGACATAGCCCCACAGCAATGCGGGGTGCAACCAGGGACGGCAAGAAGGAGTGCCGAAAAGGAAGCGGCAAGTTCCAGCACGACAGGGAGAATGAGACCAAGAACACCGAGCCGCAGCCCGAGGAGGCCAGACGCAGCAACATGCTCCAACATGGGGGGCACGGCTGCACCAAGTGCGCCAAACCTCGGACCCAGGAGAGTGCGGCTGAAGCCAGGTCCAATGTGGAGAGCAGTACGGCGTGTACCAGCACACATGCGGGGAGAGGGTGCGCCATGACCTACAGGCAGTGAGCGAGGGGAAATTTTCCATTTGTTTCTTCATGTGCTTGCGAAGTTAAGCCTAATTCAAGACGGGCCGCTGGAGCCATACCAACCTACTGCCGAACGGGGCCATAAGCCCTTTGCACCGACTGCATAAAATTGGCACTATGACAGAGTCTTGCCGCAAACTGAGCACCACCTTGAATAGGAAACTTGATGGGGATTTCAACGAGGAGGGGGCCAGCCTACAGTCCTGTGTTGCTAGTACTCGCCATATGTGTCGTTTGGGCTTTAGAGTGTTGCGTTTGCTTTGCGAGGGGGCGGCCACCGAATGCTAGAACGCAGTGGGGGGAAATTGCTTGGCGAGGGACTAAGGAACTAGCCGTAGAGGGCGCGGGGACGAGGCCGGGACGCGGGCTAGTGTTCGGGGACAGGGTGGGTCCCTGCCGGGCAATCTCCACAAACCACACCGACCGCGGGGGCAAAGCCTCCTAACATTTTGACCCCAATGCCCTTTCTCCCACAATCGTGGAAGAGAAGGGGGGGCCTCTTGTCCCCAGTGAAGTGAAGTGAAGTGAATCGAAGAGTGTTGACAAACAAGGGCGAAGCGAAACACTGGTGGACAACCACAGAGTGCAGCAGGAAAGGGGCGGAGCGAGACCAGTTCAACAAACTCGCCCCGCCCGTGGAGTGCCCGAGACTTTGTTGCACGCAAACCCGTGCACCCCACCAACAGAACGGGCAGCTCCCGCGGGGGCTCGCCCTCAAGCCTGGGGAAAGAAAGAGAGAGAGAGAGAGAGAGAGAGAGAGCCGTAGACACCCCGAAGCTGCAAACACGAGACTGCCGTACAGAACAGTCTACCGCCGAACATCCCGGCACAGCAGCGGGGCGAGAGCAACACAGTAACATGGCATGTTCCAGCACTCGTGGCAAGGTGTTTGTCGTCATGCAGTGTCAGTTCGGAAACTAAGCTCCGCCCACGGGGTAGCGAAAACCAATCGCACGTAATACCGTGCGTACAACCAACAGTTGGGCAGCTCCCGCGTGGGCTTGCCCTCAGGCCTGGGGAAAGAAAGAGAGCTGCAAGCAAAAGAGAGAGAGCCCCTGGCGACAGACAGACAACGGTTCCCGGACAATGATGAGTAGAGACGTGCACTCTGGGCTCCCGACATTGGTGGACAACATGGGCAGAGACTGCAAAACGAACTAGGTATTCCTGTGCTTTTTTTCATTTTCCACTCAACCTTGAACCGGTTCTTCGAAAGCAAACAGCACCTGTCACTTGCGGGCGGAGAACGCAGTACTGGTGGCTAGTGCCCCGGCACCCTGAGAGGGATTGAGAGGAGCCCGTGTCTGACTTCAGCTAGGAAGACTACGACGCAGGAAGCAAGTACCTCCCTTCTCCTACTGTATCCCTGCCTGCCTCAAACCGAACGGAAGCCTGACCCCTGCGCGACACTGCCTGCGACCTTCCACTCCACCCTTAAGCCTGCAGCTGCCGAGAGAGAGAGAGAGAGAGAGCGCGAGAGAGAGAGCCTTGGTGCAAACACACACCCAACGGCAAAACACAGAGCCCCAGGGGCACCAGCCACAGAGTGACAACAGAGACCAGGAGCAACCACAACCGCAACCGCCACAGTACCACAACATTCGGCAGTTACGTGATTTGCTCCAACCACCGCGAGCCAGGGAGTCCTCAGACACCGTGTGTGACGCAGGCGCCAACAGAGCAAGGAGCCCAACATGTCCAGCCGCAGAGCAAGCAAGCCCGCCACCTAGGGGACCCGCCTGGTTGCTACCAAGTGACGACACCCAAGAAGCCATGCTCCAGGCCATTCTTGCAATTGAGGCGCAGACAGCAAGCTCCTGCCCAGACGCAGCCAACCACCCTCTACCCACAGCCACACAAGCGGACAGCGAGGACACCACACAACCCGCCAACGAGCAGCAGCTTCCGACAGCCACCCACGACTGGGGCACCCACAGCCACACTGCAGCAGCCAGCACTGCGATCCACAGCCGAACAACACGGGACCCGACCTTGAGGCACCGCCACGCCACAACAACAGCCACAGAGGACCCATCTCACCACCCACTACCACCAAGCACTGTCGACCAAGAAGCAGCACCGGCAGCCAAGAGACGAAAGACCCAAGGAAGCGAGAGCCCGGGGCACCCACCGGCGGGGGCAGCCCCGAACGGCGAGGCCACGCCGTACATGATCATGAGGGCCCAGCAGCTACTGCAACAGCTCATGCCCACGCTAGTCGGGGATCAGCTGCCGATAGCCATGGAAGCGCTGCAGTTGTTGCAAAGCTGGACAACCGCACTTTGGGGCGAGCCGATCCGCCTGGTTCACGATGACCTGGCGGAGACCATCCAGTGGGACCCGCCTCCGGCTGCAGCGTGGCCCTTTCCTGGAGAAGAACTTTTTCAGCCGGCGGGGGCCCATGCGAACCAAGAAAGTGCCAGAAGGAGGTCCAGGGAAGAAGCGAGGCGTGAAGCCTTCTCCGGATGGGTCCCAGCAGACGTCCCGAGCACCGAAACGGAGGACGAAGCTTGGGGACTGCAGCGCCGCCGACGCACTGCAAGCCACGGGGGCCCACCTACGAGCACGGGGAGCCGACCCTGCCGAAGCCTCCCGCAACAAGAACAACTGAGTTCGGGGAGTGAAGCAAGAATGGAGGACGAAGCGACGCACCGTAGAAGACGGCTGCACGCACAGTTTGATCCTCACTAGGAGGCGCCCAGGAGGTAGCTACGGGGCCAGAGTTGTAGTTGAAAGGCCGCACGGAGACAGAAACCTTCCTCTGTTGTACGAAAAGCCTGCTACCGGGGACTTTCTGAACCACCAGCAACACTTCCACCAGCATCCACCCACGGGGCATCCGGTGCAGTGTGTGGCGTTCCCCTACTCGGTTTGAACCTGCGCCCCTTCTGTTTCCCCTTCCAAACACGCCGGAGCCCCACCACAGCACCACCACCACCACCATCAGCGCGGGGACCCAAATTGTGTGATGTTCCCCTAAGTTTTTTACCTCCGCCCGTCCTGCTTCCTGCTGGGGACCCACACTGGCACAAGCAACATAGCCCCACCAAACCAGCACCTTCAATAGGTAGGGAAGCTGTACGGGGACCGCCCGAAGCCCAAACCACCTTACTTGCATGTAGCACGTACCCGAGCATTTGAACTTTGCTTTACCAACACCTGAAGCTCAGGGGCCCAGAACGGAAGCGTAGAACACCTACATGCTTCTTGCACCAACACATACGTGCTCGGCCAGGCGGGGTCACCATGCTTGCTGTAAAGGTAGCGGGGGTTTGGGGGCAGTTCGGGAGAAACCTGGCCTGGCCGAACACAACAGCCCACGTTTCGCACCGAACTCGAACAGTGGCGTAGCGCTCGCGCGCAGGGGGTGTGGGGACCCGAGCCCCACCTCCCAAACGCCTTGCAAGCAAGCAAGCAAGCAAGAGAGAGAGAGAGAGGGCGCGACCGGGAAGCGGGGGGCCCAGCTTAGAGTTGTAAAGCCGCAAAATGCCGGCGCAGCGACGAGGCCCGGGGGATAGTATATAGTGTACAGGGCAAAGGGGGGGTACCACAGTGCAGCCCGGAGCCTCGCCGCAAACGAACAGTTTCACAGGCAGACACAGAGACCGGTGCGCGCACGCGCGCGAGAGCTGCCTGCAGCTCTCTGTCCGAGTGCAAGCAAGAGAGAGAGAGATTTTAGTTGGGACAAGTTGGTTGCTGTTGGTGGCAAGTAAATGGGCACCCGTTCCACAAACAAAGGTTCCAGTACAGCAGAGCCCATTCTGCCAAAAGGGCGGGATGGGGCGGCTCCCCGGAGCGGGGGGTAGGGACTGCCTACCCTCCAAGCCCCTGAGCAAAGCAAAGCAAAGAGAGAGAGCCAGAGCGAGAGAGCAGGACACCTCGATCCAACACGTGGAGCTGGCCATCCAAGAGGCAAAGTTACTCCTTGCCGCACAAGGCCAGGTCTGAGCATTTCAGCAGAGGAGGACATTCGAAGCGCAGGATTCAGAGACGGTAGCTGAAAGCGCAGCATCCGTACTACTTGGATTCGAAAGTCTGAATGTAGATGCGTCATGACCTTCTTCAGTCTTAAGAGTCTTTAGCTTGTGCTACAAGCATGTTCCTGAAGGCCATCCATCCATCATGCGCAGCTTCGGGCTCTTCCGTGCGAAGACTGGGATTTCTGAGGACGCTTAGCATAACGTGACTTCTGTCAGGTAGGGTTGACAGAACAACATAAGCTTGCTCCATTGTACGATCGTGATCAACCGGCAAGCGGCTTGTTCTGAAGCGAGAGATGACGGCTGCTCACAATGCTGGATGCTCATCTCCTCTTGCGAGATAACTTGATGGCCATCTCACAGCCTGCCGTGCACCTGACATCTGCTCAAGAAACTCTCACAGCCTACAGCTGTTGCACATACTTTCACCCTGAAGGACCTGCTCGGCACCTTCGCTCGGAAGAAGGCTCCATGGAGCCAATGCCGCACTCTCGACTCTGTTGTGGCTGCCGTCCTGGCAGGTCCGCGCTGGGGGACGGCACCCGCGGAAGGTGTTGCCTGGAGATGTGGCTCTTCAGCAATGGGTAACTGGGTATGTGACTAGTCAAGCACAATGCTGATAGCATATGCAGACGACTGAGGTAGAGAGCGTGCCACTGCATTTTCTGGTCATGGAGCGCTGCCAGTGCAGCCTTCGCGAAGCTCGGAGCTTTTTGTCAGCTTCGGCTCGCAGACCTGAGGTTTCCTTGACGTGCTGTGGAGAGAGAATGGTAGTGAAGAGTTGCTGATGTGCAGGATGCAAGCCTTGGCAGCCTTGAGCTCGAGCTTCCGTCCCCATAAGATTTTTCTGAGCCTACCGAGAGCGCCTTTAAGAAACCTCGCTCAGAGTGCTGGCGATCGGTGCACGACCGCGACCCAGGATCTGGCTGCTTTGCGCTGCCTCACAGAGCCGGAGGCCTCAAAAGCGCTGAGCACGAAATCCCGGGAAGGATGATCCGATAATGTCAGCAGATCCCGTCTTCAAGAATTGATTCTACCAATAGCATTTATGGCATTTTCAGAAAGGTTTGTAGATGTAGTGGCACATGCTAGAAAAAACACTATCACAGTGGTGAGTCTTGTTCTTTCAGCCACTGGTCCCAAAAAGTTGCTCACTCATATTACTGAGCCTGTGTTAAGCTTGACACGAGGAGCTAGTCGCACGACAACGTTAGGGAAGTGTCCAACGATGTGCTTTCGGCACAGCCCAAGTCTACCAAATGCAACAAGCAAATGTTCGAAGTAGCCAAGTACACAGTCTGGAACTGCAGCGGTTGCAGTGGACACTGGCCTTCGAGTAGCTAGTGCCACGCGTCTATGCGGAATGAGTCAGCAGGTATACACTCAATAAGCGGAATCAAATGGAACATCCTAACCAACGCGAAAAGGTCCAAATCCAGGGTTTGCCCGATTCCTCTCTTTGCGTTATTGTTGTGTACATACAATCTTGGGACGGTTGTTTGGAGGATCTGTAGGAGCTTTGGCTTACGGCTGGTGTGTGGACATTCACACGGGCAGGGACTGGCACCGGTTTCCGATACGCATCTCGATGTTCCAAACTCGTGTGGCCGCCAGGCCGCATTTGCTGCCGGGTCCGTTCTGCGAGGGCTGGCACACCTCCACCACCGGAACATCGTACATCGAGATGTCTCCTGGTTCATAAAGCGGCTCCAGGGGTGAGGAGGGACCCTGGTCCAGTCCTGTGACGAAACTGGAAAGACATCTGCACAGGTCAAAGACTCTAACATTATGGTCACCGACGGTGGCAGGCGTGTGGTTCTCTGTGACCTCGACCCGTGGCTGCAAACTGGTCCTGTGGATTCAGCACGATGGGGTCTAGTTTCGTGCATCTTCAGCTAAGTCGCAGGATGCACTGCGTGTTTGAAGCTTGCGGTTTCGGAAGTTGGGAGCTGTGAAGATCCTGTGGCGAGGGGGGGACCACTGGCTGTCTTTTTGACCATGTGCCGAAGCGGCCCTGCGGCCCTGCTCGTTTCGAAAATTCCTTCAGATGATGATATGCTGCAACCACTTTTTAAGCCCGACCCGACTAGATAATCCGACTTCGGCCAGTTAGTTGCCAAGGACATGGCTGCCACCTTGCCCTCTGCTAATGCCAGCATTGAGCCTCAGCGTCATCACGGTTGCCCGTTGCCAGAACTAAGATTAAAGATTTCTTGATGGAAGCCTGGTAGCAGATCAGATTCTACTGGCAGTGATCATCGGCAAACGGTGTCTGTGTCGGAATGTCTCAACAAATCTCCTCGGGTTCGAAGTGCAGAGGGGGGTGGGCCGCTGTTTTTTGGACTGGCTCTTTTTTCAGGGCTGCTTGTCTTTGCCCCAGCCGGAGCAAAAGCACAGTGTTTGTGTTTGCACGTCCGAGGACTGGGCTTGTGGAACCTCGGGCTTCATGGCACCCGAGGCGTCGCATCCGAAGTGGCCCGGCAGCGATGTCCGAAGCATCCGCGCTGACATCCCAGGTGCTTGCCTGCCAGAAGGGCAGCTGTTCCTCCGTTCCCTGGCTCGTCATGAGCTTTCTTTTCGCTTCTTTGGCCCCTGTTCAGGTGGTCTCACAGATTGACCGGCATTTTAGGGAGACATGCAAATGAGATACTCAGTGTCAACAGCGATCCCTCGAAGCCTTACCCTTGCCTGTAACATGGCATTGCCGCGTTGACTGTGCGCTAATCCTAAAGCGAATGTTATGTTATGATGCATGCATTTGCTGTCGGTTCGCTTTCTGCCTCCCGCAGCTCGGGTTTTGTCCCGCTGCGGTTTGATCGAGGTTGACGTTCGGCTAATTTTGCTGCATGATGTGTCAATTCCTGCAGCTCTCCACTCTAGTTGAGCTTTCCTCTGACTCCGCAATGTTTCAGTATGATGATTTATGAACTTGGTTGGGCCTCTCTGTGCCTGCTGCAACCATCTTGAAGCCGGAAACTCGTCCCAGGACATGTTTTCCTTCGGCGTGCTTCTCTATCTGCTTGTCACCGGGAGCCATCCATTTCTGGAGGCTCTCGTGCTGACACACAGCAGATGCATGCCTGTCCGGGCTGTCACGTTAGCGTGGAGGGTTCCAGGATTCCTGCTGCACATACGATTGCCATCCTGTGTCCCCTCGCAGGCAACCTACGAGGAGACCTGGGACGCAACACTCAGGCTAAGAGTCTGAGCCAGTGAGCTTAGCTCCGGTGGGGGCATCTGGAACTCGAAGATTTTGTGAACGGAAGTTCGGTGTTCAGGCGTCAGATCCCGACTGAGCCAGCTGGTGTCCTGGCCAACACCAGTCAGGCGCAACGTTTCGTTTGCAAGTCTCGGAGCGAAGCGACTTCCACTACGACACGCCCAATTCGTGCCGCTACTCTGTCGAAGCACTTCGGTTTAATATGTTCCCTGACCCGTTGCGTGCTTCTGGTGGGTTCGATTGGAGTTCTAGTCGAACGTGCCTCACGGTCATTGGCTCGGGTCCAGCGATCTAGTCACTTGTCGATGCTTCTTCGCTGCTGGTCTGGGTTCTGAGCAAGAAGAGGCTCGGATGGTGACATAGAGAAGTCTTGTAGACTGCAAGGATGCAAGGATGCTGAAAGCAATGTTGAGAGTACGAGGGGAACCGAGCTTTGTGGCTGTTGGAAGGCCTACAATCCTACAAGTCCCACTCTGCCATAACGATTGTGTTTCTGCCTCTGATCTTACCTGCATGGAAACGACAACAGTGGCGTCGGCGGCTAATTTCCCCATTTAGTGAGCGCCACATCCGTATTCCGATGCAGGCCTTCGTTTGCTTGCTCGAGGATGTGCTCGAGCGGGACATGCACAGGAGACGGGGCCAGCCCAATTTTGGGCCTAAGTTCTGACAGTCAACTTGTGGCCGTATTTGGTAAGGATTTCGTGAAGCATGCGCAGTGTAAACACCAATTGCCCACTGTAGCCCTGCGGCTCGGCTGCCTGCGAGGCGGATGACCGCAGAAGATGCCCTGCAGCATCGCTGGATGTCCTTGGAGGTTTCGTGCTTGAAGAGTTTGTGCCTGCAGCAGTTGAGAGTGCAACTTGAAAGAGAAAATAACTTGTTTCTGGGCAATTGTCTTGCATAAGTATTTGACTCGACTGTGACTTTGCGGGTTGATTTGGATTTTTCGTGCAGAGCCACAGCAAGAGCACGGCTCTGCGGCAGTCTCCGCAATTCGGCAGTGACCGTCAATGCCCTCGACATGCTTGCTCCGCTACGGGCCCCGTCGCACATCTTTAGCAACACCTGGCTGAAGATTTGGATTGTTTCAGTGGCTGATGGAATGCATGGTGTTCTCAGGAGTCCGCCTCTCTCGTCGATTTGGTGGAGCAGTTTGTCTCTACAGGCCCCGTCGCCCTTGCAAATTCAAGCCATAGTAATTCAGGGCTGCTTGCTTCAGGACGTCAGGATCCCAAGCCTTCTGGGACCCTCTCCACAATTAGCCCATGTGCACGACAGAATGCCTGCACAGGAGCTGCGCTGCGAAGGCTCTCGACAGACGTACTGGCCCCTTGGCTTGCAAGAAGCTTTGGCAGTGCCACTGAAGTTGCTTTATCAGGCCTACCGCCGTTTGCCCAATGAAGACTTGTGTATCACGCGAGGGTTAAACACCATGTGACACAATCCTTGACATGTCTTCTGCATACACTCAGCACACGTTTTCCAGATACACTCAGCTCCAGCACTCGGCAACAGACCTTGGAAGGCCGGTTAGTACTGCCGTTTCATTGGTCATGTCCGACAGCAAGCTTTCTTGCGGGGTCAATGAGGTACAAGCCTACAGTGGGCCTACAGTTTAAGACTCACTACTCATGTGCAAAATGCCCGCCATGCATCAACTCTATTGCAGAGCGGAGCCGCCTCTGAGGCACCTGTAGAGGAGTCAAAGATGAGGACGGGGAGATGGCTTGAAAGTGGTGAGAAAGCTCAATTTGTGGCCGAGACTGTCTCTGAAGCTTGAATGGCAAGGTGTAGGCTGATACCGGTGGCGACAAACCCAGGCATGTAACTGCTGCAGGCATGCAGGGGCAGCGCAGTCCCGCCGGGCGCGGCGCATGTGGAAGCTGCTGGGCGATATTGGAAAAGGTCCGATGTTGGGCGATCCTGAAGTTGAACACAGCGAACCCAGCAGAAGTAGTCTGGCTGTCTGGCAAATGCACGAGGCCGGCTAGGTCTGACAGCCACAACTGCATCCGGAGCTTCACTGCTCCAGAGCAAGGCTGTAAACAGCACCTTCGATGCTCTTTTCTAGCTACGCACCGGCCTCTTGTAACCAGGAAAAGAACTATCGACTCTGAAGTTACTGGAAAGTGCTCGTTACCTTGAGCAGGCCCTGCTTTGGCCTGGTATGCGGACACGAGCGCTCGAACACAGAAGCCGAAAAGCCTTGCATCGAGCAGCGTTCTGTCTCGATTACCACTTCGCTCCTCGTTAACTCGTACTTACACAGCATTTCAGAACTGAGGTTAGCGACATCAATGCTTTCGGCGTGCTGGCTGCAGACGGGACAGACAAGGGTCCATGAGGCATAAGAGGCTGTGTAAGCTGTCTTACGACGGAGGTCCTGGGCCTTCCAGCCCAGATGTTGGCTCCCATTGCAAAGCTGCTCCCGAATCTCAGCCCAGGCAGCGTCCACGACGGCCTCCCGCTTTCGTATGATGGCACCGAGCCCGCTGATTCGCGGGCGGGCAAGAACAGAAGACTTCGATGCTGTCCACCCCTGAAGTAGGACACCTTGGGTCACCGGTTCCCAAGGGCTGCTCTGCCACGCCATCACCATGCCGTGTAATCGGCGAATATCTGCGATGTGCGAGTTCGTGGCTTCGCCCCAGCATTCTTCTCCATGGGTCAAGGAAGTGAACCCATCCAGTGATGGGATTCACTCCCATCCCTAAATTCAGTCCCTGCAACTCCGGCACTAATTGTCCTTGAACACAGGAGGCTTTGTTGAAGCCTTGCCTGTGAACGAGCTTCGGGGAGTTTGTTGCGGCTGCAAAGGAGATCGGTCTACTGCTGAATCAAATCCTGACCGCATAGATCCAGCACTTGTCAGACCATCTTCCCATCATGATCCCCGGAAGCAGCCGCAGCGCAAGTTGTTTATATGCCAGCGGAGCGCAAGTTGTTTATATGCCAGTTCCGTCTCATTCTTAATCGACTCCATCGCGATGTGAAGTGAACTGCATGAGACTGTCCGAACCAGCACTGCCAGAAGCTAGGGGGCTCCGATGACTTTCGAATGCTGAGCGGTCTTGCCTTCCATTTTGATGTTCACTGCAAGCTCTACCGAAGAGTTCGTATCAACTTGCTCGCCAGCCAAAGTACATTGAATTTAGGCATGCCAGCGCACAGTTATCATATGCACGCCAGAGGATCACACATTTCAAGACACCAGAACAAGAACCTTGTTCTCCGGCCATCGTGGCCAGCCGCCAGTCAAAGCTGAGCACATACGTGTCGACCAGCTCCAAGACGTAGTATGACTTGCCGGCTGCCCCTCCGGCATCAATCCCCAAGAACTCGGAGATATCTGCGTTGGAGCTAGGACATGGCGGTGTAGAAGTCTTGCAGTTCGCTGCTCACTCGTTCTTTGAGAACCTCGCAGTTGCCGGTGTGACCTCTGGCGAACTGCTCGAGGACTAAGATTTGTTAATTGGTAATGCAACCCCTGGTCAGATTCATCAGGAGCAGCAGAGAAGACTGCTGTGAGTCCACAGTGCCAGCTGTAGTTTTGAGGGTGTGAAGGCCCATGACTTGTAATCCAGGCCATATAAGAGAGGGTATTCTTTTCATTATTTTAAGGTAGGGTCGCAGGGGTATAAGACTATACAGCAGTGTAGGGGCTAGAAGGGCAGATCATTTCTAGCATGCTAGGGTCTGTACTGAACTGTTTATGAGCAGCAGTGCATGCCTGAGAAATTTGCATTCGTCTCTTCAGCTGGCACTGACGCTCAGTCATCGTGCTGCAAGTGACTTTTCCCCGAAGCCTAAGAGGCGTTATTTTGGTGAATGTCTTGTGGGAGGAGACTGCTCATGCTCTAGCTGGTCGTTAAGCTGAAGCTCAAGTTCAAGCAGACCTAACTACGGGGTGCAAGCCATGTGCCGCCAGCTTCAGGACGTTTTGATTCTGTATTCCGCCATCATCCTGAAGTCCAGAACACCTTTGGGTCAAGCCTGCAGATGACTCGTGACACACCTGAAGCTGCCCAAAATTATTCCCGACTGTAATCCCTTACTACGCTACCTTGCATGCGGTCTCCTAAGTGTTCAGCAGCTTCTCCCACCCGGCTCGTTGCCCCGACCGACGAAAGGCTGGCTAGTCTGTAGTCTTACTAAGGCAGTGCTACTGCCAAACAGGTTTTGCAGAGCGCTGCTCTTTCGTCGTGGCCGGGAAAGCAAGAGCCTGCGGCTGTTTACTGTCGCCCCCTCGACCCTCGGGTCAACAAATTGTTAAGGCTGTGAGGCCCGTCGAAGCTCTGTCAGCCTGTTGGGAAGTGGAACAGCAAGTGAAGCACGACAACTCATTTTCAGAGGTTCTGGTGGATTCTCCACCTATTGGCTGACAAGGCCTCAGACCGATTGACCGCCGACGAGCCACATGATTGAAAAGTGAGCACAGCGAGACTAGGATGTTGCAGGTGTTGGAGGTGTCGGACGTATTCAAGGATTTGGCAGGGAAATCCGTAAGCCGTCCCCATGAAAGCATATATGATATCAAGCAGATTCTTCAGCTCTTTGCTTGAAAGCTTATGACAACGCCCCTTGCCTGAGCAGCTAAACATGCCGGCACTGGCGTTCTGGTCTGCAGTTGACAGCAGTTCAGCTTTACCATAATCAGGAGCTGGTATGGCAGATCCGTATTCTGAACAACGCCCGCGCACGTGAATCCTCACCTCTATTGACTGACGGGTTTAGACTGAGTTGAACCACAAGCTGCCGCCGATTTGTTTAAGGACTGGGCGTGAAAACAGCGAAGACAAGCAGGCAGGGGCCTCGACTAGCGGAATGGATCTCCGCACAGTTGCTGTTGGCTTGAAAGTTGTGCACTGGTGATGTTGCATCGCCTTCGAGCCGTCTGGCATTTCCCCTTTTTCGAACACGCTGCGAAGATTTGCGGCGCTTAGCTTAGCTCCGGAACGTAGCTCACAGGAGCTGCGTAGCTGCGGCTTCGCCTTCTGACGGAGATGACGCCGACGACGCAAGGAACCAGACATGGAAAGTAGCATCGGCCTCGCTCAGGCGATTTAAACCAGCCACTGCCCGCAGAAGACGGTGAGAAGCACAGACGGTTCGAAGTAAGCTAACACAAGAACTCCGGCGAGGTTGCTTTTGGATCCAAGGGGGCATCTGATGTTACAGATGCTATGCGCTACGAACCCGGAACTGATTGCCAGCTCTTTTCATCCCATCCCGTGCTCGGACCACGAAATTTAGATCGTTCCTGAAATTTCAGGACGCCAGGTGCCCTTTTCCGCAATCCGAGATGCAAAAGTGCAGAGATTCGCTGCAGCAAACAAGAAAGTGTGATGCAACAAAATCCCGGATGTGTTGCAGGCGCGGCTCTGCATCTTCAGGTACTTATACAGAGCTGTTTCATCTGAGGACAAGCTGGGTGTGGGAGGGCTCTGCTGCGACAAACTGTGGGCGAGGTGGACGTCGGAAGTCTCTGTGGCGCCTCGCCACCACAAGCTGTGGGTGAGGCGGAAGTTCGTTGTGTTGGGCGGGAATGGCTCAATGAAGTATGCCCACGAGCTATTCCAGGAGAGCCCCTTGTCCTTGGACACTGGTGGGAACGCGATTTGCATCACGCACGGATCAAGTTGCTCGCAGCCATTGTCCCAACCCATCCTGACATGTGTGTGTGTGTGTATAAAGAGATGTGAGATGTGCGCTTGGAAGCCGGTGGCTAATTTAGATTCAAGTCGCTTTTCTCGACTGACTAGTACCAGACGTCCTATTTGACCTGAAATCAGCGACTCCTAACAGGACCCAGGTCTTGCCCTTCAGGGCTGCCGAATTCAGGTGCCACACAGCAGACCATTCGCATCAAAGGCTGTAGCACGACATGTTGGGTTGCAGAATTTCGCCTCACATGTTGTGCGAGAGCATGGTGTGCTCAGGACACGTCCCACCTCAAGTTTCAGTGTGGTCAACAGGCGCGGAATAGCTTCAAGGAGGAAGGGCGAGCTGTTGCTGAGTTCAACAGATCTCGTGACATCTTTAGCTTTTACGTGTTTTGTTTGTATATTCGTAAGCGCACGCATTTGGCAAACCAACCCAGAGACCGGTATCAGGGTGTGCCATAGAAAGCCATGAGCTGCTTGTGGGTGGCTCAGTGGCTCGACATCACATCCAGGATGCCGATAGCTGTGACCAGAAGTACACGAGGACGACCAACAGCCGCTGTGCTGAAGATGAAAATCATGTTCCAGCTTCGGAACTCATGTGATGTGACGGGTTACCAGGTAGCCTGCATACCATGGAAGGTCGTTGTTCAGCAAAAAAATCGAAGCGAAGATGTCCGACAGACGTTGGATGTAGCCTTAAAAGCTAGCACTCTTGTCGATCCAACTTCGGGCTGTCGATGCTGAGGCAAATACATCCAGTGTGGTATGTCGGACTCCAACTGCCTGAGCATCGGACCTCTCTGCACGCCGGAATGACCCGGACCAAAAGATCTTTTCAGAGAGCGCAGATGACATGATAAGAGCAAATGAGCCGGAATCCTAGCTTAGGCCACATACTGTGTTGATACAAGATAGTTTCTTGGTTGACGGGGCTGTCGTACCTCGTACCTTTTCACCGGTAGGTGAACATCTGGGGTCAAAGACTTTCAAAATACAGTTATTCAGCTATAAAGATTCCTAAACCAGGTTTTGTCCAAA